ATGTCGGCAACCAGCACGACCGTGCACCCCGGAACGCCGCCAGGCAGCACAAATACAAGTACGACAACATCCAACTCACCGCACACCGACACAACTACTCCGACAACAAAGTGTAGTCACCCAGATTCGGCGCGTGCTGAAGACCTCCACTCCTCACTGGTGACTAACACAGACATGTCTAACCAGCCAGCAAACCCCTGGATTACCTCCGAACGACGCAGGAGACCCAGTCCCAATGCGAAATCCTCACCTGATTTCAAAAATTCCAAAAAACAAAAACAGAGCAACAACATCGACCCTGGCCAAAGCCAAACCCTTGCCCCGGCACAGGGCTCACGCTTCAGCCCACTGGTGTCACACGATATTCAAACCTAGCGCTGTCCTCCACACAATATCAGTGAGAACAATACCTTCAATTGCGGAAATACCAAAAAAACGAAACAAATTACAAAATAAATAAAAAATAATGGAAGTCGCGAATTTCATCAGCTCGAACGTCAGGTGTCTGTTCAACAAGATGGACGAGCTTAGCCACGTGGCAAAGTTGCAACAACCGTCAATAATCGCCATCCAGGAAACCTGGGCGGATCCATCGGACAGCGACGGGATGTACGCCATCAACGGCTACAAACTCATAAGAGCGGACCGGGACACCTTTGGTGGAGGAGTCGCCACGCCACGTACATACCACACAGCTGCCAACACGAGACAATTACCATTCCCATGACTCAAGCGGAATGTATTTGGATTAGAATAACAATCGGCCAAGCCTCCCTTGTGGTAGGGAACATCTACCGTCCCCCGCGGTCTGACCCCGCAGAGTTCGTGATGGAACTGGAGAGAGCCATAAAGCCTATGGGTGCCTCTGATCATGTTGTCATACAAGGCAAGATACGACCCCAGCAGCACACCACCCACAGAAACAATAATACAAATAATAATAAAAATGAGAGCAGTACTACACAGCAAAGCACCTCCAGCACATACTGGTTGTGGAGCGAGGAACGCATTGCATCCCTGCGTGAAGCTCTTGCTACCTGCAATCTGCAGTATGATCCACATCCCACTGACCCTCAGCCAGTAACCTCATTCTGGAAGTTCTGGAGAGACCAGATACTGAAACTAGCCGTGCACAACTGCCAAGTGACCAGAAGCAAGTCCCGCAAAAATTCTACGCCCACTCGTCCCTGGATGACGAAGGATCTCCTCAGCCAGATCAAAACAAAGCACAAACAGTTCCGCACCTACAAGGCGACCCAACTAGACTCAGATTGGAAACTGTACACAGCCCAGTGTAACCGAGTAACCGCTCTTTTGCGACAGGCTAAGTCCGACTTTGTCCAGCAAACAACGTCAACGGGTACAAACCTCCACCGTCTACTGAAGCACCTGAAAAAACCGCCTAAGCAAACAATTCCCACACTATCGACAGCCAACTCCACTGCAGCCACGGCTATGGAGAAAGCAACAGCTCTCAACAAGTTCTTTATCTCCCAAAGCCAACAGTCCATCGGCAAGACCATCTGTACTACACCAGACATCAACACTACCCCTGACATCAGTCATACTCTAAAATCATACAATCGCAGCAACAGTGGAAGAGGTCGAGAAGCTTCTAAGCAGTCTAGACACTGGCTAGAGCCCAGGCTTTGACAACATCCCAACTCGGCTCCTGAAAGAAACTGCAAAGGAAATCTCCCCATCTCTCACTAGTCTCTACAATCTGTCCTTCAGAACCGGAGAAATACCACAGGATTGGAACGACGCAACTATTACACACATCCCCAAGTCGGGCAACCCCTCCCATCCTTCCAACTACCGACCCATCTCCCTGCTCAGTATAATATCAAAAACACAAGAAAAAATAGTCCACTCTCGTCTGTACAATCACATAGCACCGCACTTACCCTCCAACCAATCCGGCTTCAGGAAACAAGACGGGACCGAACTGCAACTAGCACGGATCGTCCACCAGATATCCACAGCTAGGGATGCGGGGAAGCATGTTGTAACGTGTTTCTTCGATCTCAGTAAAGCCGTTGATCGTGTGTGGCATCAAGGCTTGCTGAAAAAGCTGAGCCACTATGGTGTCGACGGCAAGCCTCACAAGTGGCTCGAAGCCTATTTGACAGGACGCAGACAGTGGGTGCAGGTTGAAAGCACAACATCCGCCTTCATACCAATACCAGCAGGAGTGCCCCAGGGCTCGGTCCTGGGACCACTTCTGTTCCTGGCGTACACCATTGACCTGCCCACTGCCTGTGAAAATGCTACAACCTCGTGTAGCCAGTTCGCGGACGACACCGCACTAATTGCCATTGCAGGCAGCTACATTGAGTGTGAGGCTGCGCTACAAAGAAGCGTCGATGCCGCAGCAGAATGGCTAGAGCGCTGGCACCTGCTAGTCAATAAAACGAAAACCGTCATCCTCCCGTTCTACCATGCTAACCGACCCCCACCACGACTACCCGAAATAAAACTTGGCCAGTAACACAACATCGTCACCTCGGCATAATCTTTCAGCACGACCTAAGATGGTCAGCCCACCTTGACTTTGTGCTGAAGAAAGCCGTAAAATCTTTCAATATTCACTTTAGGCTCAAATCAACTCTACACACTAAATCACTCTCTCTCATTTACAAAACATATATCCTGCCTATAATTGAATATGCATGCATTGCTGTCACCCCTCTCTCAATCGCAGCCCTTGACCGTCTTGAGCGAATCCAGCGCAAGGCGGCCAGATTCTGCCTCCGTCTCCCCCTCTACACTCCTCTGAATCATTCAACACTGCTCCATCGGCTCAAATGGCCGACAATGTTCTCTCGCAGCAAAGTGAAGCTCACCCTTCTTGCTCACTCCATAAAATACAAATATGCCCCACAACACATACGCATGCTCAACATCCCCGCTCAAGTTACGGCCCAGTACAGCCTTCGACACGCACGCACTTGGCACCTCCCACCCTCAAGAACTGATCGCTGTATAGACTCCCCACTGTACAAGTCCCTAGAATACTACAATGCCCTCCCTGCTAGCATTCGTGACGTCTCCTCTCGAACTGTTTTCAAACAAGAAATCTGCTCACTGCTGATTAACTCAATCTGCTCCTGCAGCGCTCACCCTCTCCCATACTTGCAAAGTTCAAAGTGATGTAAATCACTTTCCAACTGTTTACCCCACAATCTCACCTTCTCATATATTTATCTCTTATTGGCGATGGTGCCATCGTGAGAATAAAGAATTCAAACGCCACCACCAAAGTGTTTACTTGCGGCCGCAAGTTGCGGATTTCAACAGCTTCTCGCAGTTTTCTGCTTGCTCTGTCGCCTGCCCTTGCCAGGACTGACACAGCCGAGAACACACTATCCGCAGCAGCTATACTCTCGCCAGAATGTTTGTCGCGCACGTGGTCACCCCATGGCTTATCGAGAGTGCGACGGCGTGCCTCGCCATTGTGCTCCCGAATTCTTGTTTCCAAGGAGCGTTCCGTCTCCCCAACATACGTTTCCCGGCACCATTTGCATTGCAATTCGTAGACTACATTCCTTGTCATACATACTCGTTCGCCTCCAGACTGACAGGTAATGCAAGGCCCTAGTGGACGTCCTCTTCGTCTTTTTTCAGTAATGTTGGGCTCGTTTACGCACTTGGGTGGTAACAGCGCCGAACGGCACAGTTGACGCCTGAGGCTGCCCGAGTGCTCGTATACGACACGTACCGGTAACTTGTATTTCCGTATTGCTTTGTTCACATGGTGGTGTACTTCATCGGACTTGAACGGTAGTTTAAGGAAGGCAGAGCGACTCTGCAACAGTGAGAGCATAAAGTTTGATTACGAGATGGCGAAGAGAACATTCATTTATCTGCTATCGCATCAACAAACGTTTCCCACTCGTCATTAATTTTTGGTTTTGTTACTTCAACGTTCTTGTGTCCGCTTATCAAACTCTTGTCTCTGCTTATCAAACTCTTGCTCTATGCTGCTCATCTTTTCCTTGCCAGGGTCTATTGCTTGGGTTTTCTGCCTACGACATCGTTCCACAGACGCCAGTTGCCGCGGAACTCTTCCGACTTACGGTATTCCTGGGGTCCACGAGGCTCAGGCAGTGAACGACTGAAAGCTTCGTCATGACAGCCTTCATCGCAGAGAACGGACGAGGAGCGCTCCTTTGCTGCTGTGGTGCAAGCGTTTACGATTATTGATTGATGCATCTACTGATCTAGCTGCTGCAGCATGTGCAGCGTACATACATGTACACATGTACGTAGTATGAACCTTTTTTTCTTCCGAAATTTCTGAAAACCTATGCAGGCGATGACGACAAACATAGAAAAAACAAAATGTGGCCTAACTGGTCCTATTTGCTGAATAAGCAACGCACATTGGTACTCAGAAAGTTCAAATTCACTGACATTGGTATTTGCTTTGGAATTTGTATGTTTTTTGGTTATCGCGGTTGAAACTTATCTGGACTCAGTATTTCGGGTGTTTCCTCTGAGGGGAGGGCCATGTCTCATCGGCCTTGGTTTTCTCCTCCATGGTTACATGACCATGGCTGTTTCGGCAACGGCGATGAGCGCAGGGCATCTCATCCGCATCGTCAGAGGCAACAATGCAGGCCTCGTCATCATTGCCCACCCTAGTGCCTCTAGGCTGAGGGGTGGCGGACATTGGGGACTGGGAGCGATTACCTGCAAGCTGGAACTCTCCGCTGCCTCAGTTTGGTCGGCAGAGGATGGGTTGTTGTTGTTCTGGTTGGCATGCCGAAAGCCAGAAACACACGCCATCACACCGATATCTGCATGAACCCTGGCTAACAACAGACACTAAGTATTTTCTTTTGCATAGCTTCAGGATGAATAATTACTTGTTCGTACTTTCAAACGAGAACATGCTGGTTTCAGTAGATTCTGTTTGCTGAAAGGAGACAAATAAGTGTGCACGAAGGGAATGTGTAAAGTTCAACGGTAAGCCCTGGAATGTGTGATGTACTTACTTGAAGCAATATAATTCTTTAATTGATGTGATTTTTTATTAAAGATGGTGCCTCGTGAAAAGTCCTTAGGGATCTTGAGAGCGCACAAGCGAAGGTTGAATGAAACTCCATCCAAAAGATAACTGTGCATGTATGGGACACAAAATATATTTAGAAGTTGCAAGAAACAACTTAATAGTCATGAACAGTGTAACAGCATCCACTACCACTTGCACAGTTGTCCTCCTATTATCGTTATCACCTTTGATATTGTCATCAAGGTAGAGTTTGCTCATGCATTGCCACTGATGGTCCCGCTGTGATGTTGCATATTCTGATTGGTACATTCTGATCGTTTTTTTACTAGTGTGTTACACTGTTGTATTACATGATGCATGGAATGTTTGGTTGCCTTTGACTTGGTCCTAACTTGCAGCTAACTTGGCAGTGTTACCGTATAGCATAGTACTATGATCGATATTCTAAAAAAAGTATTGTGTGTTTCTCTCTGTTGTTTACCTACCATCATTTTAATATTCATAATGATGCATGGCTTCACATTTTGGCTGCTGGATGCTAGCCCAGTGGGTGCCAATCTCCGGCCTTAGGGTGAGTGCTGATGGATAAGAAGAGGGGAAAAAGTGTTTTCAGAACACTGTTTTCGTCCTCTCATTCTTGTTTGAACTAGCACTGCCTCTCGGTATTGAGCACTCTCTTGGACAGCCTGGAACCTCTGTTATATTCTGAAAATAATTATATTTTATCTAATTGTTCACAAACTCCAATGCAGCAACTTGCACATGAAATTTAGGAAATTTCACTTCTGTAATTGTATTTGTATTTATGGATTCTTAACTCCAAAAACGGTCTCTTCACTGTAATTAAAATAAAAAGAATATAATTCTTATCAACCACCACACCACACTTCAGTTGGTACTCTGCTCCTTCAGACAGCAGCTGTTTCGATCATCAGGATCTCGTCAGTGAAGGTTGATAATGTAGAATGGCTAACAGATAGTGGACTTCATCCTTTTGTAGCAAAAAGGGGTAAACATAATGACCCATCTTAGGCGATGCATGGCTGGCGGTATCCGGCATAGCAGGCTGGTAAATCAAGTAGCGCATGGCACATAGATGATGACACAGCAACGACATAGCTCGATTGCGACGTACGTTTCGTCCCCGCTGGACTCATCAGGCAATCTTCTTCTTGGATGTCTTCATACGGAGCTTGACTGGGGTGAACTGTACTTATGGTTGATAAATATGGTGGCAAAGACCCACCTGGAAATATGGCGGTAAACACACGCCTGCCCATACACGCTCTGGAGGCTGCAAAGTTCTGGCACAGAGCTCTCCCTCTCACCACCACCACCATCAGTTCGCGCCTGGCACCTGGTCGATGCATGGCTGGCGGTATCCGGCATAGCAGGACTCATCAGGCAATCTTCTTGTATGTCTTCATACGGAGCAGGACTCGGGAGAATGAAATTGCAGCTGTACTTATGGTTGATAAATATGGTGGTAAAGACACACCTGGCAATATGGCGGTAAACACACGCCTTCCCACACATGCTCTCTAGGCTGCAAAGTTCTGGCACAGAGATTTCCTTCTCACCACCACCACCATCAGTTCGCGCCTGACGCCTGGTCGATGCATGGCTGGCGGTATCCGGCATAGCAGTAGGCTGCGGCTCTGTAGCTCCATCCCGGGACCAATGATGCGCAATGCACGGCCTGCGATGCTATCTAGGCGTGCAAGATGATGTTGTTGTTGTATGGCTTTCTTTAGAGTTCCAAAACAGGCCGAAACCTAATGACAATGGTCCCATAAGATGGTGTTGTAACCTCAACCGCATGTATTCATCGATGTCCTGATTGTATAGCCCTCTTGGCTAAAGAATCCTCACTTCTCCGTGTTCAGGTCTAGGTGCTGAAAGCATGGCCCCGTAAGCCCCGTAGGCATTCCACCACCCATCTCTTTTCATGTCTGCTTCAGAGATTTGGCGCGTGCACGTGCAGCTGCATGTGTGTACTCCGCCGCTTGGTTCTGCGCTAGGTTCTACGCGTACAGGACTTGCTACTCTTTGCTACTCTTTGCACGCCAACTCTGTTCTACGGTACACATACTTCTGCTTTTGGGGATATAATCTGGTACTGGTTGTTGCTCTCGGGGAGTTCTCGGAGAGTTGTGGAAAGCAAGGCTTGCGTTTTCAAGGTGACTGGACTGTCTTGAGTTTGAGTGTGTGAACGGCGACCACCGAGTTTAGACGAACCATAACAGATGGGAGGGAGCAGCTCTCATCCAGACGAGTGGAGCATACTCCAAAACAGGCCGTACAAACCCCTTGTACACCGTGAGGCGGCCTTCTCGAGAGAGATAGGGCACAGCTCGCCGCAGGAGGCCCAAACGTTGTTTGCCACGTATAGACACTGCACGGATGTGCTCCGTGAAGGACAGTTTCGGATCAAAATACAATCTCGTATCGTCAGCATAGGCTTCCAGCTGCGTGTTCCCAGGAAGGCATGTTGATACGTCGTTAATGTATATGAGAAATATGGTTGGCCCCAAGATGCTGCCTTGTGAGACTCCCGCCTTAATGGGGTATGGACGGGAGGTTGCACCACCGACAACACACTGTACGCTTTGGTACGACAGGTACGGTGTCAGCCATGCAAGGAGGATTCCTTGGATGCCACATTGCTGTAGCTTGAAGAGGACACCTGCATAAGAGACCATGTCGAAGGCTCCAGCGATATCAACTGCAAGTACGCGTGCTGCGCCCCGTGTCCAATAGAGGATACCCAGGAGTGGTGTAGCGCAGTAAGAGCGTCGGCTGTACCCAGATTCCGTCTGAAGCCAAACTGATTCGCTGCAAGCAGTGAGTTACCCTCGAGGTAGTTCGTAATTTGCATGTTGATAATGGTCTCCATTACCTTGGATATCACACTAAGGAGAGAAACAGGGCGGTAGTTCTCGAACTGTGAGCGAGATGAGCGTTCATGCACAGGAGCAACATTGGCGAGCTTCCAGGCCTGAGGTTGGTATCTAGGCCGGAAGCACAATGAGAAAAGCTTGGACAGGACCGGTGCGAGCAACGAAGCACATTCTTTCAGGACACGGGGGGGGGGGGGGAGATGCTGTCCGGCCCCGTGGCTTTTGACGCGTCGAGACGGCACAGGAGGCGGTGAACAATCCGGATGCGGAAGTGGACGTGGGTGAGTGGTAGATGTGGGTGAGCAGGCGCTGGGGTTCCAAGGAAGGCACGATGTAGGTCCCTGTCACCCAGGCTGCACTTGCCAGCAAAGAAGTGACCAAAGCAGTCAGCCTTCTCCTTGCTGGTGATGTGTTCCTTCCCGGCATTGTCGGGGAGGAGGGGATGTCAGAGTTTCGGCCAAGACCGCATGCTCCTTTCAGGTTGCACCACCATGCCTTGTCGCGAAGCGAGCCGCAGGTGAGCCGGGCCCGAAGGTGCCGGTCCTTCTCCTGCCTGGAGTGCTGAAGTGTGGTGGCGCTGGTAACATAGTCCATGAAGGATTGCTTCTTGACGTCATTGCCGAGGTCGTGCCGCCATTTCCTCCATTCGCTGTCCTTGACACGCATCACTTGTGTGCACTCAGGGGTCCACCACTTGGGATCAGATGAGCGGATGACGAGAGTCTTATGGGGAATGAACTGGTCCATGCCTGCACCGATGGTATTGGTGACTTGTAAGCAAGACAACTCTGGATTGTCCGTGATAATGGAGGCCCAAGGGACAGCCTTGAGGTGTGCTCTGAGTCTCCCCCAGTCAGCACGATTGTAACGCCACACAGTACGTGTGGTGGCCTCTCCCCGGCATGGTGAAATGGTCGGGAATTGAGCTATCACAGTTCCATGATCTGAGCGTCCTAAAGGGGCATGTAAAGTGGTGCTGATGGGTTGTTGGAAAGTGGAGGGATTAGGTCTAGTGTGTTGGCACCTCGAGTGGGTGCTCGGACATTTTGCGTGAGCTCGTGGGTTATACAAAGATCCTCGAGGGCATCCCCGGCCGGGGTTGACTTCGCGCTACCAAGCCAATCTGCACTATTCACGTTGAAATCCCCAGCGAGGATTTGTTCGGGGACAGCTCTTTGGCCTGATGTGGTGTATCGTCAAGTGAATCGATGAGACAGAGGTCGGTGGGGCTACAGGAGCCTGGGCGGTACACAGAGCCGATCACCAAGCTTGTGCCACCATGGAGGCGGACTTTAACCCAGAGTGTTTCGTGTTCTGCAGACTGGAGTTGGTCTAGATGAGCAGAAGTAAGGGTGGACTTGATTCACACAGCGATACCTCCTCCGTGCTCGTTCCGGTCTCTGCGATGTGGCACGCCGTATCCAGGGATGGACGAGTGAAGGCTAGTTATGGCACCAGCAGAAAATTTAGTTTCAGTGATAATTGCTACATCTATGTCGTGCTGGTTGAGTGCATGCCTTAGGTCGTCCAGCTTGTTACGAAGGCTACAGGCATCAGTCACCAGCAGTTTGAGTCCTGTTGGAGAATTGGGGTCACCCAGTGCTGCCATCATTCTTTATCATTGGTCAACTGGCATGATAGCTGCATCAAACTTGGTCTCCGTCACAACAGCGATGTCAACATTGTGATGCGTGACAGTGTGGACAAATTCTCCAAATGTGTTTGCTAAGCAAAAGCATTAGTCACCAGGAGGCGCAGGGACTGGGTTGAGGAGGTAGGTGGTGCCGTGGGTGTTACATTATAGTTATAGTTCTGCATTTTTTTCAAGTCACGATTAGACTCTGGCAAGCGGACTAAATCGTGAGCCTGGAGCTAGATTTGTTGGTTTCCGGGAATCCTTCTTCTTCACCCCAGTTGCCAATGTATGGATATTTGTTTTCGCTGGGATACGATACATACGTTCAAAGTGAGTGAGATCCTGGTAACTCGAAGGAGCATCAGGCCAGACCTGTTTAGAACATACAGGACGCTGTACAAGCCATACACTGGCGGTCTGTTCATACCAATACTTGATCAGTGCACTAAACAGAGGTGTAGAACGCTCGGGATCCAGAGACTTTTCCTAGTACTTGAAATGAAAGAAAAACTGGACACTAACACGTACTCGGCAAACCGGCAGGAATTCACGCATCGGATTACCTTCGAAATCCGGCAGAAACATTGTCACCACTTCAACATCACTCTCGAATAACGGGGCACCCCAGCAAAGTCTGCTCTCATTTGGTTCTTTTCGGTCTAGAGCCAAAACTGTCGTTGGATCTGCGAGATGAGTGGAACGAAGCATAATAATAATTATGATACAGTAGTAACATACTTCACAGAATTTTCTCAGCTCTAGAAATGTGAGGCCCTCCTCGCGAGCAGGTAAATCCATGACAAACGAAGACCTCAGTTAACCGAAATGCATCAGCACTTTCAACGGCAACACATCAATTTGGTAAAGAGGAAACTGAATAACTAGACAAACTGTGACCTATTTCGCTAAAAGGTATATGAAACCCACGTATCATCAAGGTGTGTATTTGTTTGGGCCGCCGACATGCCTGGCGATATCCCGTACCTGTCCCGTACCGTACCATCAATGTGTGTGTTTGTGACAGACGGACCTACGTCTGGTGCTATCCCGTACCTGTCCCTATTAAACTCGGAGTCACAACGGAATAACTTTGCCAAGGTTTTCATTGTGTGCCTTTGTGTACGCCGCTCTGCCTGAATCAGGCATTGAGCACTCTTCCAGAACCAAAGCATATTGCCTCTGTGAATAATAATATATAATAATAATACCTAAAAACTGTGGACAGCAACTGTTTCACTCTGTTAGAGCTCCTCAGCACAGCTCAGAGGACCGAAGCTCAGCTCTTTGCAATGAAATACGTTGCCGTGAAGCAAAGCATTTTGATAAAGAGCTGCAAACCCCGCCAACAGTGCTCGAAATGCTCCAAGAGCAGTGAGCGCTGCACAGGGCGAGCGGCAAGGGTTCGTGTTAAGGTAAGAGTGCTCAACCTAACATAAATAATAATAATAATATTTCGAAGTCTGAAGAAAACTTTGAACGGTCTCTGCTGGGATGACGACTACACCATAGCTCAGTGGTTAGAGCATCGCAGGCTACAAGCAAGGGTCCCTGGTTCGAGTCCTGGTGGTGACAGTCAATTTTTTCTTCAGACTTTTTCCGTTTGTCTCTTTCCCTCAAACCAATAATAATATTAGAATAATAATACGAAGTAGTGGTTGCGACTTCGGCACAATCTTCCTCAGCCTACTCAAGCTCAACTGATGAGGGGTGAATTCCCCAAAACACTGTGTATTGAGCAGGGAGTGGTGCTTTCTTGCAGGTTTGCCGAGTCGAAGGTTCGATGGACTTCTCGTGTGCTCTGGATGGCAGTCGTGAGTCAATCAAGTGTCAAGTAAAGTCGGCGGAATAGCGCGAGCTCCGGTGTGGGGAGAAAACCTTTATTAGAATAATAAGAATTGACTAATCTTTATAGGGCTAAATTGGCGCAATTGCGCTCATTCTGCATAGAAGCGTGGCATACCCTGAGTGACAAAAGTGATAACAAGGTCAGGTGATAACGACACACGCTCATGGCTGGGACAGGAACATGAAGCACGTGTGAAAGGGGGGGGGGGGGAGCGCAAAAACAGCAGTCAGTCTAACACCAGAAAGGTTAGTTATTGCATGTGCCACAAAAACAAAGATACTGTGGCTGACTGTACTTGGCCCATAGTAACGTGACGGGGAACGAACGACGAAGCGAACTGGCCAACGTGGCAGACCCAGAGGCCCCTGAGGCAATCACTGTCCTGCCAGCCCGTTGCACACAGCCACACCACGCCGCCATACCCGTTGAACACTACACTGATGTTGCCTGCGCCTTCAGTCAGCATCTTCTGCCGCAAAACAGCCACTTGACACACCGAGAGGCCCATGGGGCATTCACTCCAGTCAGGGCTGTGCTGAGTCCGATGCTGCTAAATTTCGATCTAGCAATGGATGTTGAGGAACTTTCCCGTCTGTCTCGTAATTTCACTGTCGCTTTACGGCGCAGAGTTTGGATCGGCCAAGAGCGAAATGTGGTGGTGTGGTGTATAGTATTTATTTAACATCGAACAACTCAACAGTGTTGACAAACAAATTTAAAGAGCGCCGATGAGGCAAAAGGAAGAAGAAAAGTTAAACGATGAGGCTATAGCCAATGTGAAGACACAGTAAAGGTAAAGATATTGAAGAACATACATGGAGTGTGACTTGCAGCAAAGAAAAAGAAGCGGTTGACCTGCATTGGGTCCTTCAAAAAGTTGTTGAATTTCTGAAAGTTATGCAGTGTGAGAAGAACTGCGGAGTTCAGAGGGTAGCGCATTAAAGAACAACGCAGCACGGTTCGAAAAAGAATTGACACCATCAGAAGTACGGAATGTGTTCACTGCAATGGGTTGGGTGGTTTGGATCCTCGTACAAAGGGCAGCACGAGGCTAAGGGAAGAGGGAGGAGAGCAAAGGTAGAGGGTGAGAGACAAAATTGCAATTTAGGGGTGGTTGCACACCTGCGAATATGTCATGGCTGCACTGGGGTTCTTGAGTAGGAATTGGTTGGCGAGTCATTTACATACAAGCTCACTCCTACAATGCAGTAGCGGTGTCTTGTCTGGAGGGTTTCTTCTAGGCAGAGGTTCCATCTCTTGCTGATGTGCCTATCGATTTCCAACTTAGATGTATAAGAGATGTATAAACTTACTTCGAAGTAGGTGTATGAAATAATGTGTGGGTATGAGCCGAAAGAAGCTATTCCTCCTCCTACCGGAATTTGCAACACACTGCAAAGTCTTGATCTGCTTATGATAAAACTGCATCAAGGCCCACAACAAGAGAGTGTTGCACCCACCAACACCGGACAAGGACTCCAACTGCAGGATCAAGAACTCGTGTCCACTCGAAGGAAAGTGCCAGGCGGACAACGCAATCTACCAGGCCATGGTGTCGGACGACACCCGTAACGCCAAGGTCTATACCGGCATGTCTGCGCCGCCTTTCAACGCTCGCTACTCCAACCATTTGACTACACTCAGGCATGACCGCTATGAGAATTCCACCGAGTTGTCAAAGCATGTTTGGTCGATGAAGCGGGACAACAGACAGTACGTCATTGACTGGAAGATCCGCGACAGGGCCGCCTCGTTCGATAACACGTCCAAGAGATGCGGCCTCTGCCCTACCGAGAAGTATCACATCCTCGAAACCGACGCCCGCACTAGGCTAAACAAGCGAAATGAGATTGTGTCAAAATGCAGCCACGAAAGCAAGTGTGTCCTATCAAATTTTGTGCCAATCACATAAGGACAGTGATTATTCTATGGCCTTCGTAGCGCCTCTATATCTGTTACCTGGCATGGCACCACTCTGCGCTATCACCTTTCCCTAGGCACTCTGTGCAATGCATCATGAAGAATGGGCTGGTCACACCCCGCAATATCATCACCCTCATCTAGCACCTAGGCACTCTGTACAATGCATCATGAAAAATGGACTTGTCACATCCGGGAACCCGACATAATGATAATCTTCACACTCCATAGTGACGGAGTTCACACCTTCTGAGTATATAACCAGTGTATCATACTTTGTTTGATCATCCATCTGATGATCCGTTGCTTGAACGGTGAAACACTGTGTAATGGAATTTGATCTCTGACGGTTTTCCGCTTGTGTGTGATGAAGCTCTGCCTCGCTTGCATTGAGCACTCTCCGCAGTTTGAGACCATTCCCTTGTGTAAAACTGCATCATAAACTAAGCAAATCACACTCATACTCCTCATCATCGACAGTAGCATCCTGTGTTACTTATCTTGCATACTCCATAGTCACAATAGTAGGGCCACTTCCGATGGCTACCCTAAACAGCATCCCCAGCCTTCCCACTATCCCAGGTCTGCAGAGATCCTTAGAGGAAGAGCAAACGGCTGAATCATGAAATACTGGGAATGTGTGTAGTTTTGTTAGTCAGGCAAGACTTACAGATTAATTAAGTGAGGTGTGTCTTGAGGCACTCCACTGGGAAGATAGCGGAGATTATTAGAATGCAAAAACCTGAACAAGGAATGAAGGAATGTTGAAAATTGTGTCTAAATAATCTTTTGACAGGGAAATTTAAGGTTTTCATCTTATCTTATAGCATTTTTAAGAGAGCATATCTGAAAAACCAGAAACGCTGGGCAGGGCTATCTCTCTGATTTCACTCAAATTTTGCGAGTAGGTTCCCTTTGGGGTCTACGACAACCATGCAAAAGGGCTAGTTGCATAACTTACGGACACCTTGGCTAAAATGGGCTCAAAATACGACTGAACATTGGGTCCAAAAACGAGTGCTGGTACAGCGTACGCAATGGAGCTAAGAACAAATCACCGCCCTGCCAACATTACCTCACCTGAGCAGTCTTCGCATCACCGCCACATAGAGCCATGGCTACATCCAGGAAAGCAATGGCCATCATCTCCAAATATCACTAAATTGCATCGCTAAAATAGCCAAATTTCAAGGGCCATAGCGAGAGCCATTTACAGCGTCTATTTTTCTGAACCATGCAATGCAGGATAGAGGACTATACTCCATTACCACCCAGGACATGTCTCGTAAAAAAGTGTTCCAGGTTTTCTGGAAATAAACAAATTCAAATATTTTCACTTCACCACATTGCAACATTGCCAATTTCATACCCGACGACGGAAAGAGCCTCCTCAAGCTCCATCACCAGCACGCCAAACACTGCAGCGTGGTCACCTCTACCAAGTCTGACAAGAAATTGGAACTGGCCACCCTTGTCACTCCAAACAACAACCATTTCCTTCCCTGAACAACTCGAATTTCACTAGCTCTGCAGAAGTGCAAACATATTGAACTAATCTCGATTTGTGCGATTGAAGCACGATATTTTTGCGTCCTGAAACTGGCCGTGTGCCGACCACCGCGTGACATAGCAGATCAACGGATTTGATCGATTTGATCGACAATCAAGATCAGAATCAAAATCTAGACGATCAGGTTGATCAGCAACATGATATTTACTATGCTATGATGTATGATGGAATCAAGAGTACATAACCCCCCAGAGTGTGCAACGCCGATCCAGCTCTACATAGGGTCTTGGTCGAGCGGAATCGGATCTTCTGATGTCATGCATACACTCCACACCAGTGCAAGGCCGGTCTCGAGGCAGGGCACCATTGTTTTTGATCCAAGAGTACCCGCGACTCCCCGGGTTCCCTTCAGATGTGTACGGTATTATGACGCAAAGATCCGATTCCGCTCAACCAAGACCCTATGCAGAGCTGGATCAGGCGTTGCACACTCTGGGGGTTATGTACTCTTGATGGAATGCTGCTTGAGTGAAACCATGAAGAGGCACGATGCCCTGCACTTCATGATTTGCGATCTAGCTGCAACCTGATTTCCAGGAATCTCCTTTGAAATTTCGACCACGTAGCATGCAGACCAACCACCAAAATCTCAATCCGTTGACATGCAGAATCCCTGGATGGCACAAAAACAAGCGAAAAGGGCTTTTTCCGCCAAAAAAAGTTCAACTCTGCAGATCTGCTTACGGCACAGTTCAACCCTGCATTGCAGTTCGATCAGTCGGCGCGTCGGCGCCCGCCTATAGCGCCTGTCAGTGCAGATCTTGTGGTCAGGTCTTGAAAGTGCCGTTTACAGTTCGAAGTGCGAGTGCAAACCGTACATATTTTTGAAAAAAACCGGGACGTTCAAAGCAAATCCATGGAGTTTTCAGGAAAATCCTGTATCAGACGAAACTGTGATTTCCGGGATTTTCCTTCAAATCCCCTGGACCCCGAGAGTAGTTTTGATTTCCCGGGATTTTCCCGGGAAAACCGGGAGGGTTGGCCAGTATGACGTAGTCGCTACAGGTTCGAGCACTCGCTTTTGAGGTGCACTCCGGAGAGATCGACTTGTTGGGTACGGAAATGCATCCATTGCTATTTCGTGTATCTGGTAAGTTGGTGGTGTGTTTCATGTATTTTTTTAGGATGCCAACAGTGATTTTGTGTTTCACGCATGGATGACATCTGTTGCTGGAGCGACATAGCTCAACAAAGAGAATAAAGTTGATTCCTATCGACATAATGTCTCTATTCCCACCTGATCTATATTCCTGCAACCAGATAACGTGATGAGCTCAACACAATAGTCATTATTGGGGTTTTGAGCGTAGTCATCCGAGTCCTAGAAATCGAATTTTCATTACAAGCTGGTTTTCAAAATATCCTCCTTGCCAGGTCGATGGAGTCGCGCTGACACCAAACGCTGCGTGGTCAACCAGCCCTGCATTGTCACTGATTAGAGTGTCGACCTTTTGGAGACAAATAGTTGCTCGACAAGAAAATTACAACAAGCAGACGTACGCTCGCTCCTCACCGAACCTGAGGAAAACCCACACCTTGCTGCATGCTGCGAACTCCGGCAACTCGTGTAAATGTACGCAAACATCGTGTTGCTGATCAGCCTTCATCGTCCAGATTTTGATTCTGATCTTGATCGTCGATCAACTCAATCAAATCATTCGATCTGCTATTTTGCTTGGTTGGTTGGTTTATTTTAATTCACACAATAAGTGGGAACTAGACCCAATGTTATAAAAGGCGAATGGATAAGCCGCATTTAGAAAAGAGAGGACAGGAATTAGAAAATTACGAAAGTATCTGACAAGCGAGTATCAGGGGAGACAGGGTGGTTGAGGAGAGCTAAGGGCGGGCTAATCTTACCAACAATATGGTAGGCAACTTATGCTAAACTTGTTCTGTCTTGCTATGGTCCCAACATCATCCGGCAGCAGGTTCCAGAGTGCAGATCCTGCTACTTACGGCCGAGAAACGCCAGAGCGAGTGGAGGATGGCCCGGCTGAGTGCGTTCAATTACACACTTGGATCGATTCATAAATTCATTCGCATGCATTCAAGTCGTTCGATTTCCATGTCATGAGCCCTGGAAACGATTCGGAATCGATTCCACGGATCCACATGGGGTGATGTGAAAAAAGAAAAGAAAAGAAGCCACGTGTTGAAAAGTCATGACGGTACTAAAATGGTCCGCCACATGCACATGTACACAACTCCATCAAACCTCTTCCAGCAACAAAATAGGGGAAAGGCAAGATAAAGGAGGGAGAAGAAAATGCTGGCAAAAATTGTTCATAGAATAACTGGGCACAGTTGCTTCAGCAAAATGTGTTACTCTTGGCACTGCTGCGCTCCGGTAACAAACAAGGAACATCATAAACAGAGCAATATCGCACCAAGCAGGAAACAGCATTTCTTCTGTCTAGTCATCATTAAACACCGTCCAGATCCAAGGGATCGGGAATGCCTCGGCATTGTCCATTTTTCAGACGACACTTAGCGTAAAAGTAAACATGGAATATTCTACATGCGAAAGTGACTACATCATGTACAAGTACATGTGAAAGAAAAGCGATGAGAAGAAAGTCAGTATCAAATAGCAGTTTTTTCGTGAAATCTACGACTTATGGCCCTTTTCCTGAAAAGGGCCGTACATCGTAGATTGCACGGACCTTTTGACTTTTTAAGTTTTGTTCAACGTCATGACCACGTAACCAAAATCTTATTGCGATTTTAGCATGTTCACGCCGTTCGATTACTTGGAAGAAAGTGCGCACTTGAATCGATTCACGGATGAATTCATGAATCGATTCAAGTGCGTAATCCAACGCACCCACTGAGCAGACCACTAGACCTCTGAAGACGGGTTCCTCTGTCAGCAGATCTGACGAAAAGTACGGACAATGTGGCACTAGATTTCCCATGAAGGCACCTCCAGACAAACACTAGTAGCTTGCGCTTGCTGGGTTCGCCTATGTCACGCTGTGGTCGGCGCATGGCCAGTTTTAGGAAGCATAAATATCGTGCTTCGATCGTACAAATCGAGATTTGTTCAATATATTTTGCACTTCTGCAGAGCTTTGCTGCTAGTGAAATTGGAGTCGTTTAGGGAATGAAAATTAATGGTAGTTGTGTGGAGTGACAAGGGTTGTGAGTTAAAATTTCTTGTCAGACTCGGTGGAGGTGACCACGCTGCAGTGTTTGGCGTGCTGGCGTTGAGGGGGCGCTTTCCGTCGTCCTCACCGATTTGAATGAGTTTGCCCGACTGGTTTGCTATGGAGCGAGCATTAAATATTGTAAGTCGGTGAGTGGCAACATGTATAGACTAGAATCATTCGTTTCCGAACGCAAATATCTGTACTCCACCGGGCGTTTTCTAAAAGCGGCCAGATAGATTTTCTTCATTTCTTCAAGAAGTACAGCCAGCTATGTGGTTCATACAATTAACATTGGATATTCGATATTGAATGAATTTGATGGACCTACAGTACGTTTCAAAAAGATTAGCAATCCTGGCGATCGCCCGCGGAGTTTGCCATCTTACCATATGAGCACTCGAGAGCTGCCTGGAAAAACTCACTGTGAACTGGAAGAAATATTCCCCATGAAAGCAGGAAGAATGACAACTCACTCACGTCGATACAGTCATGCACGTTTCGTTTACAACAAACGAGTTCTTCCTCGTATCGATAATGGAGTGAACTTGTCAAAACGAAAGTGTTGTAAATGTTGACGAGCGGCATGGGTCCCAATTCGTTTTGTGATCAAATAGTTTCTTTGAGCTGCGATGCAATTTCATTTTATTTTTATTTATTTCACCTTCCCGTGGCCAGAGAATATAGACCAATATGGAGGGAGGAGGCAGTAGCCAGCCATGGCAGTAAACAAAAAAAGCACATTACTGGAGGCAAAGAGAAACTAAACTCGATAAAGAATTAGCAGTTATTAGGGAGTTTCTGCCCTACGTTTCGGGAACGCGAAGCAAAGAATCACGCGAAGTCTCTTCGCGTTCCCGTAACGTAAAGACATCCTGTTCTGCTCTACTCTTCACGTAGAGAAGTCACGTGGAATGAGTACTGGGAATTTCCCCTTCCATATTTGGCAGTTTTCTGCATCAGTTGATCGATACCCAGCCAATCCGTACGCATTATCTTTGCGTGTGCCACAACGTAGAGAACCTCATCTCCGCGTAGAAGATTTTACTGATAGAGGCAGGGCCAGCCAGAGAGAATAGGCAGCGAAAAACGGAGATCTGGTATAAGCTGATGTTCGGGCTTAAGGTAAAATGCAGGGATTGTGCGTAGGACGAGTGGGAAGAACCCAGTTATATTTGCGCAAATGTGGCGGGGCTTTGTCAAGACGAATAGAATGAACAACAATACACAGTTTTCGATCCGCTTGACTAGAGATAGGGAAGGTTTGCGGAAAAGGACTTTCAGTATCCTCTTATTGTGGACTTCCAGGGTACTCATTAACGATGTACTTGGTAAGGATGACCAGGCGGTTGAGTAATAGAGAAAAATGGGGAGAATATAGCAATGATAAAAAAGGCAAATGCATTCAAGCGGTAGCAAGAGTCCATAAACAAGAGTATGCAACTGTGATCTCTTTTCTATGGGCCAGATGGGCGGCGCGCTGCCTTCATTACATCATTCAGCTGCAGTCCGCGCACTGCGGAAAATCAAACACTACGCTTTCCCTCTGGTTTGAAATGAATTTTCGTACGGAACTGTAGTTCACGCGCCAAAATTTAGAGATCACGTAGGTACTGGAATGAATCGAGCAAAAACGGATGGGCTCGTACGAGAAATTGTGGGTTTGAGTGCATGCTTTCAGAGCGTGATGGAGGCAAGTTACGTAATGATGGCAGCGCGCCGCGCACTGGCCCATAACCACAGTTGCATACTCTTGTTTATGCACTCTTGGCGGTAGGTGGGAGCAATGAGACACGAGATAGCCGACAGATTTACTGACTTTGCTACAGACTACAGAACAACAAGGACAATCAAGGCTTGTTTGCTGCTACTTTAAGTTTCATGCTTACGCAATCATCAGGCAACAACCTTCGGTGACTTTGCTACAGATATAGTCGACATGTCTACTATATAGTCGACATGTCTACTAAACGATACTAAACGATAAGTCTGAGAGCTAGTTTCTTTCTTGAAGGAATGCGCAATGGAACTTGTAAAGACACTATCTCAGCTCTTTGCTTCCAATACGGAGTTCTACCTGGAAAAGTCTTCCACGAGCGGCGTCAGCTTCGGGTCATAAAGGGTTCATGAGATCAATCAACGAGATGCCATATCGCGAAATCCCATTTGCCACATCTCAAAAGAACTACGACAAAAACGCCTTTTTACGGTACATTCACAACATGACTTACAGGTGTTGTAATTTGGTTGTGGCTTTGAACAGCCCGTCAGGTAGGTGAACAAGTTGATTATGGGCCAAATTCCTGGGAGAACAAAGTAGAATTTTTATAGGATGTATAATCCTGGAAGAATGTCTTATTACTCTATTTTGCGTGCTAGTTTGTAGGTGGAGTGTGTGGATTACAGTGAGGGCTGCGTCCCACCCACATGTGGAGATTCATACAAAGTGTAAGTCCAAAATAGCATGTGAGCCCAAATCTCTGGGAGAACAAAGTAGAATTTTGGTAGGATGTATATAGGATATATCATTACATCCGATAATATTGGTTATGTAGAAAGGAAAAGACATTATGGATACGAGTTAAGAGTAACTCTCCATCACTGTAACATGATACTTTATACAGTCAGAAAGTGCAATAACTAGGCACAATACTGACAGAGTACTGAGACATTCGACGTCCTGACACCTAGCTTCAACACATCTCCGTAGCGCTAACCGACAGCCTTCCAACTTGGAAGGTTCAAGGTTATGGAAAAGACCAAAGAGGGGAAGGTAAGCGCAACGAAAACGAGCAAAAGCTACAGTCCCAACAGAACAAAGAATGTCGATTGTTACTGGACCGGATGACGAGACCAATACGATATCTGACAAAGCGGTCTAACTACAATTCGAAGCAGCAAAGCAGCACACCACCCAACTTGGCGCTACGGAGATGTGTTGAAGCTAGGTGTCAGGATGTCGAATGTCTCAGTACTCTGTCAGTATTGTGCCTAGTTATTGCACTTTCTGACTGTATAAAGTATCATGTTACAGTAATGGAGAGTTACTCTTAACTCGTATCCATAATGTCTTTTTCCTTTCTACATTTATTTATGGCTCAACATCCGAGCTTCAAATATTGGTTATAGTGATATTTTTGCTGGATAAAATACGTTTTGCTTTTGATATTTCGTGCCAATATCACTGTAGCCGATATATGCTTATATCCGGTCACTCTATAGCCGATACAGACTGTACTTGGGTCACACGATTAGTGGGCAGGGCGTCTCCCCTTCAACAGCCAGATTACAGACACTGAAAATGGCCAAACCACCACAGAATGTTGCCGAATTGCAATCTTTCATCGGTTCCTCAAATTTCGTGCGGAAGTTTGTGCCTCATTTCGCAGAAATTGCAGCTCCTTGGCACGGCCTCTTGAAAAAGGCTGGAAATGGCACTGGGAGACCACTCACGAGCAAGTTTTGGCTAATTGAAAGATGTTATGTGTTCGGAAGCGCTACTGGCACACTATGATTTACAAAGGCCAACAGTGTTGCAAGTGGATGCTTCGGGAGTGGGCCTTGGCGCAGTAGTACTGCAGAAGCAGAAGAATGGCGAATTACGACTGTCCGCATTCATGTCGCATAAGCTGAACCCAGCAGAGTCACGCTATGCTCAAATTGAAAGAGAAGCGTTGGCTGTGGTGTTCAGAGTTACCAAATTTCGCCAGTACCTACTCGGTAGGGAGTTCATAGTGGTCACTGATCATCGGCCACTCTTGAAGTTACTGGGAAATCACGAGGATGTCCCCACTCTTGCCTCTAATCGAATGAATAAATGGGCATTGCAACTGGTGGCGTATGATTACGAAATGCAGTTTCTCGCGGGGAAAGAAAACGTCCATGCGGATTTTCTCTTGCGACAACCAATGCAATCTGTGTCACCGAGCGAGGAGGAGACTGTCACGGTGCAGGCTTATCGAGAACGACTCAATAATCAAAGCGGCTGTGGTGAGAGCAGATTCGGATTCTGTATTGGCTAAAGTAATCCGCTATGTGGTTAATGGGTGGCCTGCTGAAATTGAGGAAGACCTCATGGCATATGCTGGCAAGAGAATGGAATTGTCTGTGGAGAATGATATCTTGTTATGGGACAACCGGGTGGTGATTCCTAACTCACTTCGAATGCTCTTGCTACGAGATCTGCATGCAGAGCATTTTGGCATTGTGAAAATGAAGCAAGTGGCCCGGCGCTACTTGTGGTGTCCCGATTTTGACCAGGATATAGAATCTAAAGTCGATGGGTGTATGCAATGCCAAGAGAATGCCAAATGCCCACCGGCAAAACCCGGTGTTTGTTCATGGCCTACGGGTCCATGGAAACGGATACACATTGATTTTGCCGGGCCATTTCTGGGAAAAATGTTCTTGGTGGTGGTGGATGCTTACTCTAAGTACTTGGATGTAATACCCATGGCTCATGCAACCAGTGCAACCACGATTTCTGCTTTACGCCATCTGTTTTCTGTGTTTGGTTTGCGTTAACACTTGGTTACAGATAACGGCAGTCAGTTCACGAGTGCGAAATTCCAAGCGTTCCTGGATGGCAATGGCATTTTACACACAACGACGGCGCCAGGTCATCCAGCAACTAATGGCCTCGCGGAACACTACATTGGCGTCTTCAAGCAGAAGATGAAAGAAATGTCGAATACTGGTGAACCACTCAACGTCAGGCTCGACCGGTTTCTCTGACTGCATCGAACAACGCCGACCTCCAGTGGGAAGACGGCGGCAGAGCTTGAAATGGGCCGGCAACCGAGAATCCGGCTCAATGCATTGTGGCAGTCTGAGAGTCATCGGCAGGTCAAGGTGTACCAGGAGAGCTTGACTACGCCAAAGTTTAACACCGGTGACGCTGTGTTTGCCCTGAACTTTGGTAGTAGAGCAACTTGGGTACCAGCTACTGTAGTGCATGTCCACAGCCCTCACAGTTTCGGAGTACAGCTGGATGATGTCGTCAGGAAGCGCCATAGGGAAGAACTACGACCGCGGGCGGTGTAGTTTGGCCAAGTACCCGTTTCTTCTTCTGTGGACCAGGCGGTGGTCGCACAGCTGCCTACACCGACCAGTGACCCGCCGACAGTACTGGATTCTCCTCTACCACTTCCGGACGCTAGCAGCAACAGTGGCCCCAGCAGCAGACGCCGTTGGACGCGAGACGGCTCCCAGTGTTGTTGCGCCGGCACCCTTGCGTCTCTCCGACCGACATGTCTCTGCGCCCAAGCACAGAGACATGTCGGTCGGAGTTCAAACTGCGTACTATTACCTTTGAGTATGTATTGCTTGTCCCGTTATTTTGATCTGATGCGGCCTGAGTGTAGGAAGTGGACATTTCTGGGCCAGATGAATATTCTACATGTAGGTCATGACAAACAGTCTTCACATAAGATTGTTTTTCATTTAATTCATTGAAACATTCGCATGGTTTCTCTTCCGATCTGTTCGAATTCCCCAACGCTATGCAATATTGGCTAACTTTATCTGTCATTCCTACCTCGATATATAGCTCAGCTCTCATGGACTATGCTGGAAGCTGCAGTAACTGTTATAAGTATAATTATTCCCGTAGCTATGCAGAAGATGTTACTTCAGTAACGTCTGGCACTAGCCAGGGTTCACACAGCTTTAATTTGGTATTTATTTGTTTTTTTGTTTGTGTCACGTATCTGTCCCGTACCGTACCGTACCGTACCATCGAACACAGTTGGCCACAAACAGCTGGCCACAATATTCAAATAGGGCTTTCAAATGCAAGATCATAACATGAAGCAACTTGGAAGAATGAGTAGGAATGCTAAGTGTATTGGGGAATGCATGTAGGGCAATAGCGCAGGTTCGAATCCCAAGTTATGCCTAAACAAATTAGGAGAATTGAAAATTGTCATCCCTATGCTTTTTTTTAGGTCATCAATGTGGTAAACGATGTCGTATTACCCTCGATCGTATCTGTCCCATACCGTACCGTATCATGAAAGACGGCTGGCCGCAAACAGCTGGTGACGATATTCAAATACGGCTTTCAAATGCAAGATCATAACGTGAAGCAACTTGGAAGAATTAGTACGTATGCGAAGTATATCGGGTGATGCATGCAGGGCGATAGTGCGGGGTCGAATCCAGGTCATATCTAAAAAAATATAGGAGAAATGAAAAATTTATAACATCCCTAGGTCATCAAGGCAAAAAAGCATAGCGCAGGTCCCTGCGCTTCCAAGCTCTCTCGTGTTTGCAATGTCTGTTTGTTTGTTTTTGACCTTTTTACTTTTGCATTATCCGGTCGTTGTATTTTCAACAGCTACCTCTATATCTGTCGGCACCAAATTAGACTGCCTCTTTGGTTTTAATTTTACCCCACCCCCAAAAAAAACTTGGGGGGGGGGGCGAATGCTGTGTATGTAATGTGATAAGGCGCACATGCGGGCCTGGGCTCGTGGCTGGTTTTGCATGCTTGCTGTGCTAGACTTGGTCCGAGAATGCGAGCTCCCTTTTCCTCGTCTTTCTATTCCTTGATTATTTACAATAACTGTACGAACCTTAGTAATGCTGTGTGTTGGCCCTTAGGACCAGACCTAACACAGTAGGACCATTGGTTTTAATCATAGCCATTACTAACAGGATACAGAACAGGATCGAGGGTAACCACAGTGCCAACAATTAGACTTGTTCACACTTGCTCCATCATTTTTGTCTACTGCTCCGAAATGTACATTTTTGAAATATTCTCAACTGGCTTGCTCCATTGTAAAGTCATTCTGAGAATGTTTGGGCATGGACCTCGTGAACAGAACCCTTTACTGCAACCATCCATCGGCGCCATGATGTGGCAGTCATGGGGTTTCTTTCAGTCGCATTTGGGTAAAAGTCAGTTAGGCTGAGAACTGTTCTCAAGGAAAAGTTTCGCAACACACTGTCGCCAGGATAAAACATCAGAAAACTGTTAGAAACTGGAAAGCAGCCGACTCGTGTAGGCAGGTTGTAAACGTGAGAATCTAATCCTAAATTACGCGTTTTTTCACGTGTGTTCCGAAGAACTCGTTCCCGTGCGCATTGACGTTTCACGGCTTGCTAATGGCCAACAACGTAACCAGATCATATAGAATCAGTGAGTGCAAAAAATGGCACAAACCTGACAAGGAGTACTGAGACATTCAGCAACCAGACATCCAGCTCGAACACTTCACCAAGGCGCAAGCCAACTACCTTCCAACTTCGAAGGCTCAGGTTCATTTTCTTTGCCAGTCAAGCGTGGGGGAGCGACTGCGTCATCCTTCTTGACTGCGCATCCGGTACGGGGCCTGGTGGGTGCCTCCCCCGGCTCCAGCTCTCTGTTCCATGTTTTCTTTTGGTTAGATTCTTCAATGGAGTTATTTTACAGGGTGGGACAGAGCTCTTGGCCGTTGAAGAAAATGTTGAGTCACCTCCACCATTACACTGCGGTGTCAACGTGGCTGACTAGACCCTCCTGCACACAACCATCACCATTGCGAGGACACTTCCCTAGACGATATTGATAACTCCTTCATTGAAGGTAGACGTGGAATGATTAAAATATATACCAAACTGCTAATATATAATGGTTTGTCACATACAAAACTGATATATTTGAGGTGATAACGCGGGAAAAGGAAAGTGTGAAATACTGTTGACGCACATGGGACATGCATGCAGCGTCACAAATTCGGCACGGAAAATCAACCACAATGACTATCAAATTCAGAAATAATGAGCCAGAAACAGTGTAATGTGTAGCTAGTGGGAGTCTTTGTATTGCATTTGTCGGAGCGCCATAAAGGCGTGCAAACTCATCTCACGACCCGCTGACGTCGACCGCCACAGCAGCCCCTGGGGCATGAACTCATTTTCGTCGTTCCCCTGCCCAGTTGTAGGTTCTTTTACGTCCAATTCCCTGCTCTCCCAGGGAGAGTATGGCTACCATAGATTTTGGTATTCTGGATACCTAGGGCCGGAAAGCCTAGCAAGGGCCAACAATATGAACTTGGCCAGCCTCAGCCGAGTTCAGCTCGTCGGAGCACTCCGGGAAAAAAAATCCAGCCAAATGATCGAGTAGCATTACAGACTGTGCTGCCGATGGACCCTCAAGCCGCCAGCATCAGGATGCTTACGATCATGAAGCAGCTGAGGGAGACAGTGCGTCTTCTTGTGGAAGATATTGCGGACCTGAAAAGTCTAACAGCCTCCAAAGAACAGAAAAAGGAAGCCGCCATTGCGGACTTTCGAGAGGAGATTCGGGCTTTCCAGGAAAGAACGTCTAATTCCAACATGAAAGGAAGAATCATCGGAGCCAGCTGCAGTACGTGCTGGGGGGGGGGGGGGGGTTCCTACGCATCGCAGATAGCCATTGAAGCACCAATAGAGTCCCCAGCCCCCAGTCCGCCTTCTAGGCTGCGTTCGGTTTTAGCTTCCTGGTAGGTTAGAATCACTCTATTGATGGAGGTAGACGGTAAAGATTCAGGGGTTTTACGTCGATCCCTAGACGACGGCTACAAAGGCCAACTGGACAACAAAGAAGGTGACGCCTAAGAGAATGTTTTATGATCTTGCACATGCTTATATTGTGATAGTGACGTCAGTTCGCTACAGTACTCCCCCGCCATTGGTGAGGCCGGGAGGCGCGAAGCACGATAAACAAGATAAAAAGAGAAGAGAAAGGAAGCGCGGCATGTACAAGGCGGAAAGGCAAACATATAATACAATATGTACAAGAGAGCGCTGCGTGTACTGTATGAAGTTTGTTGATAACGTGGCCACAAAGACCAAAACAAAACTCAGAAAGCAGAAAGTGGAAAAGAGAGAGATGCATGACAGAGGCGGGTGTCAGAGTTGGAAAGAAAGAAAAGAGGAAATGTATGCGTGACAGAGGAGTGTTATCATGTAAGAGGCGGCTGCAACGTACCAGTCACTGAGTACAGGAAACACTGGGGCGAGGCGTGCCGTGTGAGGCGAGGACTGATGGAGGCGTGCGTACCTCCAAGTCCTGTGCCACGCGTATGCCTGCAAACTGATACTTGGGGTGGAGGTGGCCAATTTCCAGCTTGAGGCCAGGGTGAATATAAAGGACAAAGACGACTGAACGATGTGCTGTGACAGGATAGCGGGTTATCCAGGTGGGCCGGGAGGACAGCAGGGGCCACACTAGCTCCGAGGCGGATACAGTTTCGAGATGGTGAGGCTCAAGTTTCGAGACGAACAGGAAACTGCGTTGAGAGCTCAGGGATGGCACGCACCGAGAAAACTCCGAAGTAGGCAGCGTCAAGGGTCACCAGTTTAGGGATTTATGTTGCACTCTAGTCGACGGCTACAATGGCCAACCGGACAACAAAGAAGTTGAGGCCAAAGAAAACTTTTTTTCTTACGCCTGACTATAATGTGATAGTGTTGTCAGGTCGATACAGAGGTATCTGTACGCGAAATGTTTTCTTCTGTATTGAGTTGTGTACAACTACAGTCTGTATCGGCTATTGAGTGACCGGATATAAGAATATATCGGCTACAGTGATATTGGTGAGAAATATCAAGAGCAATACACCATACCGCCACATTGCGCTCTTGGCCGATCCAAACTCTGCACTCACATCACCAACACCACAGAAACAGATGTCTGGAGGGTCATTGTCAGTATCAATCCATATACCGGAATTGTCCTCTTGTACTTTTCGCTGCTGTTATTTCGCTATCTTTCTCTGGTTTTGTAAACCTGAAACACTGACATGGCGTTTCGGAATCGTAGGAAAGCATGATTCATAATTTGTAGAGCCGACAGTCGTCACAGAGCAAAGCTGTCAATGCTGCAAACAAATAAGAGCGAACCTTTTTTTTAATTTTTCGTCCACCAGGCACAATGGGAAGAAAAGCACTGCACTCACATCTCGTTGTAGCTATTTTTCAGTTCAGACCTTGACAGATCAGGACAATGGCACCCAGGAGCAAGACGAGTGGAAAATGAATAGCAATAGCAGCTAGCGTGTCGACGCTTCGCGATGATGTCAAAACTCCATGGCTACCTGCAGTGACCATGATCATCCTTAGCAGACGGATGGTCATTCGTAGCTGTCTACATTCAACTGTATCTGATACAAGGCTGCTCTTGGTTCTGCACGGGTTTCGGTACGGGGTGGATGACGAACCACATTTTCGCTTACGTTGGTTGCGACCACCTCGTGAGCGGCATCAGATATCGGTCATAAAGGGTGGGGAAGGGTACCTCAGTCCAACCAAAGAGATGCCACTGGGCACTGGCGGATAATCATCGAAAAGGTGGCAGATTCTGCTCGAAAAGCAGTGAAATTGGCAGAACGATACAAACTTTATGGCGGGCAATTTCTCGAATTTTGCTCCATTTCTTTATCCACATACCAAACATGCATGAAATTTACAAGAAAAGTACCGAATTCTGCCAATTTTCTGCCGGCATTATCCGCATATGCCTAGATGCCACCTCTTAAAAGAACAGAACTACGCCAACAAAAACGCCTTTTTACGATACATGCACAACATGACTTACAGGCTTCTCAATTCGGTTGTGGCGTCGAATAGCCCGGCTGGTAGGTGAACAAGTTTATTCCAGTAGAAAACCCTGGGAGAACAAAGTAGATTTTTGATAGGATACATATCACTTCCTGGAAGAATTTCTTATACCGTGCTTTACACATTTACCGCATATCAAAATAACAGAACTACGCAAAAAATCTCTTTTCCGATATATGCACCCCATGACTTGGATAAGATGTACATTGTGTAGTATCCCTGCCTTGCTTGTAGCGTATCCTCGTACGTTAGCGTATCCCTATACATTAGCGTATGTTGTCTGTTGCCTGTAAAAGCTGCTAGCCATTTCTGTTTTCATGAGATTTGATAACAACAACAAAGCCGAACAGAAGAGCTGTTCAACCTCCAGGTGTGTACCGGAGAAAGTTCTTTTTATTGCCGCTTCATTTTTTCAAAGAGAATTGGTGAGCACACATGCTCATTCGCTGGGCACTGCAAATTCACAACTCATTTTCATTTCTCAGAATAATTTTCAACGTTTTTAGCAAATTGCCCTCATCAGGATGCTATATGAAGTGGAAGTCTGCAAAGGAGAAGTTATATACATCAATTTGGTGTTCTTAGGTGTTAATATTTCGATGACTACACATGTTACCTCAGTGCTAGGAATATGATATGTCTAAAACTAGTGAAAGATCACAAGCTTTCACTGACTTCTATGCTGTGTGTTGGTAATAAGTAATTAGTTAGCACAGCGCAGATGTCACCAGATAACTTGAGAAATGTCTGAACAGGTTTCTCGCGAGCAATACACGAACGTGACCATGTCAGTGTTTTCCAGAAAATACTGTCACCTACAGTTGCGCTCGGTGAAATCCGGCCCGAAGTGCAAAACCGGCGCCGCGAATTGGCGCGAAGCCAGCTCCCATTACATCACTGGCGATTTGTGTGTATGAACTCAACGGTACGCACCTCGATAGCAGAGTACCCAACATCCTGTTTCAACCTCCCTGTTCGCCAGACATTGGTTGGTTGGTTAGTTGGTTGGATATATTTAAAGTCGAACAACAAACAGGCATGTCTGCCTCCTTATATGAAGACCACTTCTGGCAATAAAACATTTTAAGAGAGCATGTCTGAGAATACCAAAGTATGTGTGCAAGTGGATCTCTCCGATTTCGCTCAAAATTTGCAGGTAGGTTCCCTTTGGGGTCTTGCAATAAAATTCAAAAATTGCGCTCAGGCCTTCAGTCACTTTTGCAGCAACAGTCGCACAAAAAATTATTGGTGGCGCAAGGAGAAGCTTGTCGTTTGGAGTGACAAGTGATCACCGCTGCTTTTCCTTGTCAGAGTCAACACTACATTTTGTTCTGCGGCCTTGGGAGTAGTGTTGGAGTAGAAATTGCTGAGGAGACGTCGCGGAGTGGCGAGCTTTCCTGCGCAGGTATGACTTTGGCCGTATTTCAGCATGGTCGAGTGGAAAAATTCAAAAAAGTTTATTTCAAGAAAACCCCAAAAGGAAGATGGTGGACATGTCCTCAGTGCTAGAAGAGGTGTTCTACTATCTGCTGGTGTATAGTTCTGGCCAATTGAGAACGTAGCTGGCTGTTTTGCCAGAGCTTGTAAATTGGCTATTTTCAAGACGATCATTTGTGGCGTCAGGGGGTGATGGACCTCGTCTTCTGGGATGCTGGCGTGGCTAAGCGGTACTGCTCCAGGAACTCTTCTAAGGTGAGGCAATGTTGGCTTGATGGAGTTTTGTTCATAGCTTGTTCGTACACGCTGTGGCGTGACTCGTTTCTAGACCAATAAATATTGTGATATTTCGGCCATGCAAATGGCCGAAATATCACAGGGGTATGCAAATTTCAAGGTTCCCTTCAGAAACTTTTTCAAGGGCTTTGCATAATAGATGCACACCCCATCGTTGTCTGGAACCTCCACCTCTTGAGGCTGGGCTTGCTGCCAGCGCAAGGTGTAGGCCATCCATTCGACAGACATAATCACGATCCGTAAACTTGCCGGTCGAAGGAACAAAGCTCGATCCAAGCTCCAGAATCCGCCTGGTGCTGTCTGGCACACAATCATCCACAACCAATGCCTGCTGGACACTGGATCCATCACATGCCGCCGCACTACTGGTCCGAGCGCCAAGCTGGGCTTGTGATGCGGCTTGCGTAATTTCATGCTCTTGCTGGCCAGCTTCTGCACGAAGCTTGCCAAGCTCCCGGGCTAGCCTTGCATTTGCGGCGGGCAGACCACGGGTACATTATGCATGGCGACGGCACGGTTCAGCGAGTTGAAAGCGTTCCCTGCGTCTACCAGTAGGATCGCCTCAGTCGCTGGTTGCTCAAAGAGGTGCTCCATGGCATGTACCGCAGCCTCGCAGCCAGATGGGACACCCGCGCACAGCTGCAGAGGAGCCGTGACCATGAGCATGTCAGGCTCTATCACTCGGGCGACAGCCTTGCAGACGATCCTACGGAACACCTCACCCACTGCGATTGGCCGCACGCCCGGGTTCTTATTGAGCGGAATCAGCCGGGCCGCAGTGAAGGCTGCCAAGGAATCTGGGTCAACATCCTCCCTGCACAGAAGCCTGGCGGTCTCCGCCATGGAAGAAGCCAGCCGGTCCGAACAAGTTCCGTAGCATGTTAGCATTCGCTGCCAAGCCTCTGCGTCAAGGCCACACGGGCCGGATGAGCCGGACATCTCGCGAGCGACGCGTTTAATCAAGGCGGGTGTCAGCCTCTCAAACAGAATGGGATCACATTCAGGGCTGTCCGCCGCATCCACCAGAACGCTCGGGTCAGGGCTAGCAGGTAATGGGTGCTTTTCGAGCAGTGCATCTCTCACGGTCTTCCCAGTGTCGGCGTCCATGACCTCATCCATCGCCAATACCCCACCGGACGAGGCTGATGAGGCGAGACGAATGGCCGATTGTATTATGCTGGAGAAGACCAGCTTGCTGAATCTCATATCATCAATTTGCCCATCTGCCTCCCGAGGCCCAGAGTCCCGAAGAGGGGCAAATGTGCCTGGAGGCACCTTTCCTCGCGCAGCAGCTCACCAATCCGCCCAGATTCCCATAGGCCGAGACGCCGATCAAGGTGCGGTGCCGAAGCCCCGTACTGGGTAGCACATGGATTCTGTAGGAGCAGCTGGGAAGCCACGACCACAGCCGCCCAGGCATGCCGGCGCGCTGCACCACCAACAGCAAACGAGTACATGAGGTCAGCCAGTAGAGCCACAAACCGCCGACCCACGGCTCCATGTGGCACAATAAATAGATTCCGACGCCACGTGATGACCTCCTCATATGCGGTGAGAACAGACTCAGTAGTAACAGCAGCAGCAGCAGCAGCAGCAGCAGGATCCGGTCCCGGATCCGGCACAGAACCACGTGCACCAGGGGCGTTAGAAACCGGCTCTGATCCAAGTAGTAGTAGTAGCAGTAGCAGTAGCAGTAGCAGTAGCAGTAGCAGTAGCAGTAGCAGTAGCAGTAGCAGTAGCAGTAGCAGAAGCAGTAGCAGTAGCAGTAGCAGTAGCAGTACAAAAAATTATAGTAGTAGTCTGTGGTGGTGGTGGTGGTGGTGGTGGTGGTGGTCGTAGTAGTAGTAGTAGTAGTAGTAGTAGTAGTAGTAGTAGTAGTAGTAGTAGTAGTAGTAGTGGTGGTGGTAGTAGTAGTAGTAGTAGTAGTAGTAGTAGTAGTAGTAGTAGTAGTAGTAGTAGTAGTAGTAGTAGTAGTAGTAGTAGTAGTAGTAGTAGTAGTAGTAGTAGTAGTAGTAGTAGTAGTAGTAGTAGTAGTAGTAGTAGTAGTAGTAGTAGTAGTAGTAGTAGTAGTAGTAGTAGTAGTAGTAGTAGTAGTAGTAGTAGTAGTAGTAGTAGTAGTAGTAGTAGTAGTAGTAGTAGTAGTAGTAGTAGTAGTAGTAGTAGTAGTAGTAGTAGTAGTAGTAGTAGTAGTAGTAGTAGTAGTAGTAGTAGTAGTAGTAGTAGTAGTAGTAGTAGTAGTAGTAGTAGTAGTAGTAGTAGTAGTAGTAGTAGTAGTAGTAGTAGTAGTAGTAGTAGTAGTAGTAGTAGTAGTAGTAGTAGTAGTAGTAGTAGTAGTAGTAGTAGTAGTAGTAGTAGTAGTAGTAGTAGTAGTAGTAGTAGTAGTAGTAGTAGTAGTAGTAGTAGTAGTAGTAGTAGTAGTAGTAGTAGTAGTAGTAGTAGTAGTAGTAGTAGTAGTAGTAGTAGTAGTAGTAGTAGTAGTAGTAGTAGTAGTAGTAGTAGTAGTAGTAGTAGTAGTAGTAGTAGTAGTAGTAGTAGTAGTAGTAGTAGTAGTAGTAGTAGTAGTAGTAGTAGTAGTAGTAGTAGTAGTAGTAGTAGTAGTAGTAGTAGTAGTAGTAGTAGTAGTAGTAGTAGTAGTAGTAGTAGTAGTAGTAGTAGTAGTAGTAGTAGTAGTAGTAGTAGTAGTAGTAGTAGTAGTAGTAGTAGTAGTAGTAGTAGTAGTAGTAGTAGTAGTAGTAGTAGTAGTAGTAGTAGTAGTAGTAGTAGTAGTAGTAGTAGTAGTAGTAGTAGTAGTAGTAGTAGTAGTAGTAGTAGTAGTAGTAGTAGTAGTAGTAGTAGTAGTAGTAGTAGTAGTAGTAGTAGTAGTAGTAGTAGTAGTAGTAGTAGTAGTAGTAGTAGTAGTAGTAGTAGTAGTAGTAGTAGTAGTAGTAGTAGTAGTAGTAGTAGTAGTAGTAGTAGTAGTAGTAGTAGTAGTAGTAGTAGTAGTAGTAGTAGTAGTAGTAGTAGTAGTAGTAGTAGTAGTAGTAGTAGTAGTAGTAGTAGTAGTAGTAGTAGTAGTAGTAGTAGTAGTAGTAGTAGTAGTAGTAGTAGTAGTAGTAGTAGTAGTAGTAGTAGTAGTAGTAGTAGTAGTAGTAGTAGTAGTAGTAGTAGTAGTAGTAGTAGTAGTAGTAGTAGTAGTAGTAGTAGTAGTAGTAGTAGTAGTAGTAGTAGTAGTAGTAGTAGTAGTAGTAGTAGTAGTAGTAGTAGTAGTAGTAGTAGTAGTAGTAGTAGTAGTAGTAGTAGTAGTAGTAGTAGTAGTAGTAGTAGTAGTAGTAGTAGTAGTAGTAGTAGTAGTAGTAGTAGTAGTAGTAGTAGTAGTAGTAGTAGTAGTAGTAGTAGTAGTAGTAGTAGTAGTAGTAGTAGTAGTAGTAGTAGTAGTAGTAGTAGTAGTAGTAGTAGTAGTAGTAGTAGTAGTAGTAGTAGTAGTAGTAGTAGTAGTAGTAGTAGTAGTAGTAGTAGTAGTAGTAGTAGTAGTAGTAGTAGTAGTAGTAGTAGTAGTAGTAGTAGTAGTAGTAGTAGTAGTAGTAGTAGTAGTAGTAGTAGTAGTAGTAGTAGTAGTAGTAGTAGTAGTAGTAGTAGTAGTAGTAGTAGTAGTAGTAGTAGTAGTAGTAGTAGTAGTAGTAGTAGTAGTAGTAGTAGTAGTAGTAGTAGTAGTAGTAGTAGTAGTAGTAGTAGTAGTAGTAGTAGTAGTAGTAGTAGTAGTAGTAGTAGTAGTAGTAGTAGTAGTAGTAGTAGTAGTAGTAGTAGTAGTAGTAGTAGTAGTAGTAGTAGTAGTAGTAGTAGTAGTAGTAGTAGTAGTAGTAGTAGTAGTAGTAGTAGTAGTAGTAGTAGTAGTAGTAGTAGTAGTAGTAGTAGTAGTAGTAGTAGTAGTAGTAGTAGTAGTAGTAGTAGTAGTAGTAGTAGTAGTAGTAGTAGTAGTAGTAGTAGTAGTAGTAGTAGTAGTAGTAGTAGTAGTAGTAGTAGTAGTAGTAGTAGTAGTAGTAGTAGTAGTAGTAGTAGTAGTAGTAGTAGTAGTAGTAGTAGTAGTAGTAGTAGTAGTAGTAGTAGTAGTAGTAGTAGTAGTAGTAGTAGTAGTAGTAGTAGTAGTAGTAGTAGTAGTAGTAGTAGTAGTAGTAGTAGTAGTAGTAGTAGTAGTAGTAGTAGTAGTAGTAGTAGTAGTAGTAGTAGTAGTAGTAGTAGTAGTAGTAGTAGTAGTAGTAGTAGTAGTAGTAGTAGTAGTAGTAGTAGTAGTAGTAGTAGTAGTAGTAGTAGTAGTAGTAGTAGTAGTAGTAGTAGTAGTAGTAGTAGTAGTAGTAGTAGTAGTAGTAGTAGTAGTAGTAGTAGTAGTAGTAGTAGTAGTAGTAGTAGTAGTAGTAGTAGTAGTAGTAGTAGTAGTAGTAGTAGTAGTAGTAGTAGTAGTAGTAGTAGTAGTAGTAGTAGTAGTAGTAGTAGTAGTAGTAGTAGTAGTAGTAGTAGTAGTAGTAGTAGTAGTAGTAGTAGTAGTAGTAGTAGTAGTAGTAGTAGTAGTAGTAGTCACATCCTTTATTGCTGAACCCACAAATAATTGTGATACAAATTGTAAACCATCCGAGGAAGAAGAGAAAGCCATTTAAAATAAAAAATAAAACAAAAAAGGTTATTGTGCCATGCCAAACGGGTATTATTAAGTCATGTACCAATTGTAGTAGTAGTAGTAGTAGTAGTAGTAGTAGTAGTAGTAGTAGTAGTAGTAGTAGTAGTAGTAGTAGTAGTAGTAGTAGTAGTAGTAGTAGTAGTAGTAGTAGTAGTAGTAGTAGTAGTAGTAGTAGTAGTAGTAGTAGTAGTAGTAGTAGTAGTAGTAGTAGTAGTAGTAGTAGTAGTAGTAGTAGTAGTAGTAGTAGTAGTAGTAGTAGTAGTAGTAGTAGTAGTAGTAGTAGTAGTAGTAGTAGTAGTAGTAGTAGTAGTAGTAGTAGTAGTAGTAGTAGTAGTAGTAGTAGTAGTAGTAGTAGTAGTAGTAGTAGTAGTAGTAGTAGTAGTAGTAGTAGTAGTAGTAGTAGTAGTAGTAGTAGTAGTAGTAGTAGTAGTAGTAGTAGTAGTAGTAGTAGTAGTAGTAGTAGTAGTAGTAGTAGTAGTAGTAGTAGTAGTAGTAGTAGTAGTAGTAGTAGTAGTAGTAGTAGTAGTAGTAGTAGTAGTAGTAGTCACTGTCACTGTCAGCGGCAGCCCAGGTTCAACAGTACGTGACATTCTGCTTGATAAGCATCCCCAGCCTGCTGTACCTCCGGATGACGCTCTCTTGCAGGGGCATGACGCGGCTACCCCTCAAGATCCGATCCTTTTTGCCAGGCTCACAGGAGCGCTGATCAAGCAGATAAGTCGTCAAATGTCCGGAGCGGCCGGTCCATCGGGCCTGGACTCTGATGCGTGGAAACGCATGTTGACCTGCTTCGCTGCGGCGTCTGACCAGCTCTGTGCGGCAATGGCAGAAGCAGGAAAACGCTTATGCACCCAGGAAGTCCCACCAGAAGAGCTAAGTTCGTTCACTGCGGCCCGCCTCATCCCACTGGACAAGCAACCGGGGGTGCGCCCTATCGCTGTTGGGGAGGTTTTCCGGAGACTAATAGGCAAAGCTGTGATGAAGATAATTCAGTATGACGCCATGCACGCCACAGCCCCTCGTCAACTCTGTGTTGGTGTTCCGTCTGGGTGTGAAGCTGCCGTGCATACGATGACCGACATGCTTGTCTCGCCGGAGGTGGAGGGTGTGCTCTTGGTCGATGCCACCAACGCTTTCAACGCTATGAACCGCACAGCAGCCCTACACAACGTGCCACTCGTCTGCCCTGCCCTGGGGCAGGTGTTCAAGAACACCTACAGCAGTCCATGCCGCCTGTTTGTGTCGGGTGGTGGAGAGATAAGGAGTCAGGAGGGTACCTGCCAAGGTGATCCTCTCGCCATGGCGATATACGCGGTCGCCATGATGCCATTGATAGACAAGCTGTCAGAGTGCTGCCCCGACGTGGTGCAGCTATGGTATGCTGATGACGATGCTGGTGGCGGACAGCTCCTCAATCTAAGGCAGTACTGGGATGGGATTCTGGAGCATGGCCCTGGGTATGGGTACTACCCTAACGCGAACAAGACAACACTAATTGTCAAGGAGCAGCATTCGGCCCTGGCACTCCAGCTTTTCAGGGACACGGGCATTCGTGTTGTGACCGAGGGTGCTCGTTATCTTGGCGGCGCACTCGGTACAACGGTCTTCTGTGAGGAGTATATCACAGATTTGATCGACAAGTGGACGCTGCAGGTTGATCGCCTGGCGGAGGTGGCCACCACTCAGCCACATGCTGCGTACGAGGTGTTTGTAAAGGGCCTCGTGTCCAAGTGGCGGTACCACTTGCGCGTCCTATCTTGCCCTGCGCATCTTCTGGCCCGTCTCGACGCCGCCATTACGGACAAGCTGCTGCCAGCGCTCAGCGGCCATTCGTGTTCGGACGAGTCGGCACTGAGAAAGTTGCTATCGCTACCAGCGCGGTTTGGTGGCATGGCAATCCCTGTGCCCTCGGTGGAGGCCGAGAAAGAGTTTTCTGCATCCAGACAGATTGTGGCTCCTGTGGCGGCCTGCATAAGACCACCAGAACATCCAACAAGCACCAACGAAACTACTCAAACAGACCAGCTGAACGAGGCAATAGCCCTCAGCCGGCAGGAGGCCGGGCGTATTCGCAGAGAGAAAGCTGCCCAAGCCACGGGTCTCGTTAGCGAATTGCGCCCGGATTTGACAGCAACACAGGCGCTGTTGGTGGAGAATGCCGCGGAAAAGGGCGTATCATCTTGGGTAACGGCGGAACCATCGTCCCAAATGCAGATGGTGCTGAACAAATCGGATTTCCGAGATGCGTTCTGCATCCGCTACGGCCTGCAGCCTGACGGACTCCCCCTGACTTGTGTATGTGGTGCTGCAAACACAATAGACCATGCGATGATGTGTCCGGCAGGGGGCTACCCCATGGCACGCCACAATGAGATCCGGGACTTGTTGGCTGACGTGATGCGTGAGGCGGTCCGGGATGTGGAGGTGGAACCGCCTCTACTACCATATGATGGTGAGCGGCTCCAAGGGAGGACAGCCAACCGCTCGGCAGGTGCCCGCCTGGACATCCGGGCTTGTGGCTTCTGGACGAGACAGCAAGATGCCTTTTTCGACATCCGGGTAACACACCCAAAGGCAAGCTTGCTGTCGCGTCAGGAAGTCATCAGCCAGCTCCGAACGCATGAACGGATGAAGAAGCGCCAGTACGGAGAGCGGGTGACAGCAGTTGACAGAGGTACGTTTACACCGCTAGTTTTTTCTACCTCGGGCATGATTGGCAGAGAATGTTCAATGGCACTGAAGACACTGGCATGCCTGATTGCTGAGAAGAACGTCGACCTACACGTATCGGTTATCATGGGTCAGCTCCGTTGTAAGCTGTCAGTCTGCCTTATGCGATGGGCAGTCACCTGTTTGCGGGGTTCAAGATCGTCATACCGCCGCAACAGGATGAATTTCACGACGATGTGCAGGTTGCGGGCAGCCTGAGCGTGATAGTACCTGACAGACATTTGCCCAACATTGCCCCATGATAATGAATTCTTGAGTTTTTGGACATTGTATTGCATTGCTGCTCCATCTACATGGCTGTATTTGTGTTTCACATCTCCATTTCAAGTTTCCTAATAAAGATTGTGTCAAGTAGTAGTAGTAGTAGTAGTAGTAGTAGTAGTAGTAGTAGTAGTAGTAGTAGTAGTAGTAGTAGTAGTAGTAGTAGTAGTAGTAGTAGTAGTAGTAGTAGTAGTAGTAGTAGTAGTAGTAGTAGTAGTAGTAGTAGTAGTAGTAGTAGTAGTAGTAGTAGTAGTAGTAGTAGTAGTAGTAGTAGTAGTAGTAGTAGTAGTAGTAGTAGTAGTAGTAGTAGTAGTAGTAGTAGTAGTAGTAGTAGTAGTAGTAGTAGTAGTAGTAGTAGTAGTAGTAGTAGTAGTAGTAGTAGTAGTAGTAGTAGTAGTAGTAGTAGTAGTAGTAGTAGTAGTAGTAGTAGTAGTAGTAGTAGTAGTAGTAGTAGTAGTAGTAGTAGTAGTAGTAGTAGTAGTAGTAGTAGTAGTAGTAGTAGTAGTAGTAGTAGTAGTAGTAGTAGTAGTAGTAGTAGTAGTAGTAGTAGTAGTAGTAGTAGTAGTAGTAGTAGTAGTAGTAGTAGTAGTAGTAGTAGTAGTAGTAGTAGTAGTAGTAGTAGTAGTAGTAGTAGTAGTAGTAGTAGTAGTAGTAGTAGTAGTAGTAGTAGTAGTAGTAGTAGTAGTAGTAGTAGTAGTAGTAGTAGTAGTAGTAGTAGTAGTAGTAGTAGTAGTAGTAGTAGTAGTAGTAGTAGTAGTAGTAGTAGTAGTAGTAGTAGTAGTAGTAGTAGTAGTAGTAGTAGTAGTAGTAGTAGTAGTAGTAGTAGTAGTAGTAGTAGTAGTAGTAGTAGTAGTAGTAGTAGTAGTAGTAGTAGTAGTAGTAGTAGTAGTAGTAGTAGTAGTAGTAGTAGTAGTAGTAGTAGTAGTAGTAGTAGTAGTAACAAGGCCTCTTTTACGGGCAAATGACGCATATGCGTAAACCAAAAGCAACAAGAAACTCAATAAACAATGTCCAACAAAAGAATCTGCTGACTGCAAAAAAGGACACAAGGTAAAACTCAAGTCCAATAGATCGCGTATGGTACGTATGTGTGAACAAACCAAAAGCCGATTGAGTGGTGAATGTGGAATGTGTAAGTTGAAAACTCGAGTCTGATAAATAGCCTATTGGGGGTATATGTGTAAAAACATCATAAACCAATAGGGTGGTGGATGTATAATTTGTCTGCGTGTGAATGCTTATTTCGATCTGTCCGATAAACAAAACAAAACAAACTATTATAAAAGTAGAACCAAAAAAAACAAAAAACAAAAAAAAAAACAAAAAAAAAGACATGCTCAAAAACAGTTATGTCCGTTACGTCACAACATCCGTTTAGGATCGGCCACACAGCCCCATGCCACTACCGGAGCAGCCTGCACTCCGTGACAAACGAATTGCCACGGCGTACGCCCCGAGCTCCCCGGCATCCACGCAGACAGGTTACGGCCCAGCGGAGGAGGCAGAAGGCAATCCTGGCACGAAGATGGTGCATGACGACGGAGTACTGTAGGTCAGAGTGCTTCTCCACCACGCGCTGAACAAGCCGCTTCAGGAACATTCCACACTCTGCCCCAGCCATGCCATTCGTAGCAAACACCAACGGAGTGAAGGCACCTCGCTCGACGTCCGTGATCCTCTGGCAGTATTTTCGCTTCTTCTCCAACTCGCTGGTACGCAGTTGGCCAAGGGCTTCCGAACGCGACAGCAGGGACGCTTTAGGGTGGGTGACCCTGACATCAAAGAAAGCGTCCTGCTGCCTTGTCCAGAAACCCCCGGCCCTGATGTCCAAACGAGCTTCAGCGCTGCGATTGGCGGTCCGGCCGGCGAGCACCTCGCCATCGAGAGGGAGCAGTCTAGGCTCGACCTCCACGTCTGGCACGACATCGCCAAGGACAGCCGCCAGGGTGTCCCGGATTTCGTCATGACGTGCCATCGGGTACCCCCCATGTGGACACGTCATCGAGTGGTGTAGGGTGGTGTCCGCTCCACAAGCGCATTTGCACGGGACATCCAGTGGCAGGTACCCATAGCGTATGCACACCGCATCTCGAAAGTCGGACTTGTTCAGGATTGTCCGGTGCGCAGTAAGCGGGGCACACGTCAGCCATGACGACACGCCCTTCTCACCTGCGATATCTGTGAGGCATTTCTGAGGCGGTGGCAGATCGGGATACAACGCCGCGACTAGTGCCTTCTGCGACTTCTCCTTGTCCTTGCGACGTGAGACCGCTCGCTTGCGGGACTCGGTAACGGCTGCGACCGACGGGTTATCACGAACCGGCTGGGTGGTGTGGACCCCAGGTTCTGGCCGGGTCACAGGTCCAGGAGGATCACGAACGGACGCAGCAGAAGACGCAGCAGAAGCAGAAGCAACCGACAATGGTGGATTCCGGTGCGATGCTAAAGACACCTCCTCGCCATCGGGCACGGACGCAGCAGAAGCAGAAGCAACCGACAAGGGTGGATTCTGAGGCGATGCCAAAGACACCTCCTCGCCATCGGGGACGGCACTCCCCGAACCATCACCGACCATCAGACGTACAAGCGGCTCCGTCACCGCAACAGAAGTGGAATACTCCCGCTCCGCCTCAGCCGCCAGAATCGGGATGTTTAGGCCTCCAAGGCGGGTGGGCACTGAGAGGAGTCGCCGAAGGCTTGCCTCATCAGGCACCTCCCGACCCAAGAGGAGGGGTAGCAGGTCACGGTTGACCAGGGTATCCAGGCGCTCTAGTAACGCAGGCGGGCAGGATGCCACTCGGAGCACGTAGCGCCACTTGGAGTAGACACCCTGCAGCGTGGCGTAAACTGCATGAGGCTGAGTACGGGCCACAGATACCAGGTTCACCACCTGCCTGCACCAGGCGGATACCGCCTCCTCAAGGTACGCGGCCTTGAAGCTTCCTGTGCCGAGCACTCCTCCCAGATATCGACAACCGGAGGTGATGATTTTGATGCCGGTGCCGGCGAACAGGGTGGACGCCTCCTCCAAACACTCCTCCTTGACCAGCAGCACCGTTTTTGTTGGGTTAGGGGTATATCCGTAGGCCGGGCCAAGCTCCTTCACACTGTTCCAATAGCGCAACAGAGACCGGACACGGCCAGCGGCGGAATCGTCGTCAGCGTACCACTCCTGCACGATATCGGGGCAGAGCTCTCCCAAGCGGCGTATGAGAGGCGTTATGGCCACAGCGTATATTCCCATCGCCAAGGGATCGCCCTGACAGGTACCCTCGCGCGACAGCACTTCGCCACCACCAGCAACAAACAATCGGCTTGGCGAACGGTAGGTGTTGTGGAAGATCTGGCCAAGCGGCGGGCAGACCACGGGTACATTATGCATGGCGACGGCACGGTTCAGCGAGTTGAAAGCGTTCCCTGCGTCTACCAGTAGGATCGCCTCAGTCGCTGGTTGCTCAAAGAGGTGCTCCATGGCATGTACCGCAGCCTCGCAGCCAGATGGGACACCCGCGCACAGCTGCAGAGGAGCCGTGACCATGAGCATGTCAGGCTCTATCACTCGGGCGACAGCCTTGCAGACGATCCTACGGAACACCTCACCCACTGCGATTGGCCGCACGCCCGGGTTCTTATTGAGCGGAATCAGCCGGGCCGCAGTGAAGGCTGCCAAGGAATCCGGGTCAACATCCTCCCTGCACAGAAGCCTGGCGGTCTCCGCCATGGAAGAAGCCAGCCGGTCCGAACAAGCTCCGTAGCATGTCAGCATTCGCTGCCAAGCCTCTGCGTCAAGGCCAGACGGGCCGGATGAGCCGGACATCTCGCGAGCGACGCGTTTAATCAAGGCGGGTGTCAGCCTCTCAAACAGAATGGGATCACATTCAGGCCTGTCCGCCGCATCCACCAGAACGCTCGGGTCAGGGCTAGCAGGTAATGGGTGCTTTTCGAGAAGTGCATCTCTCACGGTCTTCCCAGTGTCGGCGTCCATGACCTCATCCATCGCCAATACCCCACCGGACGAGGCTGATGAGGCGAGACGAATGGCCGATTGTATTCTGCCGGAGAAGACCAGCTTGCTGAATCTCATATCATCAATTTGCCCATCTGCCTCCCGAGGCCCAGAGTCCCGAAGAGGGGGCAAATGTGCCTGGAGGCACCGTCCCTCGCGCAGCAGCTCACCAATCCGCCCAGATTCCCATAGGCCGAGACGCCGATCAAGGTGCGGTGCCGAAGCCCCGTACTGGGTAGCACATGGCTTCTGTAGGAGCAACTGGGAAGCCACGACCACAGCCGCCCAGGCATGCCGGCGCGCTGCACCACCAACAGCAAACGAGTGCATGAGGTCAGCCAGTAGAGCCACAAACCGCCGACCCACGGCTCCATGTGGCACAATAAATAGATTCCGACGCCACGTGATGACCTCCTCATATGCGCTGAGAACAGACTCAGTAGTAACAGCAGCAGCAGCAGCAGCAGGATCCGGTCCCGGATCCGGCACAGAACCACGTGCACCAGGGGCGTTAGAAACCGGCTCTGATCCAACAGCAGAGCGCGGTGCCACATCCGGGGCTCCAGGCCGCGGAACAGGCTCCGAAACTGGGGCACTGTCATCCCTCGAACTGGGATCCCTGGAATCACGGCTGGGGACACTCATCGCCGCAATGGAGACAGCAGCAGCTGCAGCACCATCAACACACCCGGCGGGCGGTGGAGTGGAAGCGCCACGCACAGGGCCATCAATGGGTCTCAATCGGGGCGAAAGTGCACGACGGCTACGACCACGGCGTCCCGGTACACGAGCCACCGGAGACCTGGAGGCCGACCCATCCCGAGCATGACTCCTGCCCCTTCCGACAGCGCCAGGTGATGAGCGGCGCCGCCTGCCCAAAAAGCCTGGCCTCTCAGGAGATCTATCCGAATGGAATGCTGGATTCGGATCTGCAACCGGCACAATCGGAACCAGCTGAGCATTACCAAAATTGCGGCACCTACCCGCGCGACCAGGGTAGCAGCTCTCGCAGGCCCTGGCTGACACAGCACACGAGCAGCCACGGCAGCTCCCAGTCGACTTGCTGCACACACAGCATGGCTTCGATCCACCAGCGGGCTGTGACATGCCACCAGAGCGCTAGAGTAGTACTAGTAGAGATTGATCACAACTGCACAGTGCACACGGTACCCATGCACACGGTAACCATGGCGAGAAAGCTGATTAGAAAGCTGATCCGACGCGCTCCACAAGCTGGAGATGTGTGTGCGACGGCACCCGCCAGCACTGGGCGCAATGAGCTGCGACACCAGCAAGGCAACGCTGGTACTGTAATACGGCTGGGACTAGAATATTCTAGAAATTTCGCAAAACTCTCGATGCTCTCCAAGTCCCTAACTGAAGGGACTACCGCTGAAAGGATAATGACCAGGCTAGATAGCTAGCACGCTAGATATCGACGAGCACCGCAAGCCAAGGAACCGAGGGAAATGCACACTGGGCACTCAAAAGTAGTAGTAGTAGTAGTAGTAGTAGTAGTAGTAGTAGTAGTAGTAGTAGTAGTAGTAGTAGTAGTAGTAGTAGTAGTAGTAGTAGTAGTAGTAGTAGTAGTAGTAGTAGTAGTAGTAGTAGTAGTAGTAGTAGTAGTAGTAGTAGTAGTAGTAGTAGTAGTAGTAGTAGTAGTAGTAGTAGTAGTAGTAGTAGTAGTAGTAGTAGTAGTAGTAGTAGTAGTAGTAGTAGTAGTAGTAGTAGTAGTAGTAGTAGTAGTACATATACATTTCAGATGGGCACCAAAATTTCCATGAAGTTGGACAGAAAGATATCACTTTGGCATTGAAAATTAAAATTACAAAAAAGGTATGCCGTAGCCACCTTTTTGGTTGGCTCGGCTCAAATAGTAATGGGAAGAGTCTACCAAGTTATAGCCCCCTGCAGCTACCAGGAGCATACTTTTTCAAGAACTATCAATTTGTCAATTTGGGGGTAAATTTACATATCAGTGCCATGAAGTAAATTGAAACTGCTCTGTGGATTTCCTATAAATTTGGTAAAGATGTTCCTTTGATTGATGAAAAAGTGGCTGCCAAGTTCCATGTTTCTGTCGCCACAAGAACATACCTTTTGAGTTGATTAAAGAAGCTAGTCTTGTCAAAAACCACTACCGGAAAAGAAGAAGAAAAAAGTTTATACGGGGGAGGTTCGAATCCGCGAGCCGCAAAAAATAATAATATTTCATAATATGTTTACTCCAAACCTGCGCAGAAGGATGCTCAAAGGACTAGTTTTAAATTTAGGAACGAGAGGGCCACAAGTCATCAGAACTCGTAGGCTTTCTGACGTTTCTCTTCCAACAGATGCAGTGTACAAGGCCTCGAATTTACTACGATGGACTTACTGAACACAGCATTCACTGGCTCACATGCACTAACGACAGTTCACTTTTGTCCCAATGCAGTCCACAGGCTTCTAGCTCGTCTTGAATTCCTCAAAGGCGAATGGACCCGACGGTGTTTCCGCTCCTGTCTTGAAGGAATGCGCCAGAGAAATTGTAAAGACGCTATCTCAGCTCTTTGCTTCCAACACGGAGTTCTACCTGGAAAAGTCTTCCACAAGTGGCGTCAGATTCAAGTCATAAAGGGTGGGGGAGGGTACATGAGATCAATTAGCGAAATGCCAAATCCCGTAATCCCATTTGCCACATCTCAAAAGAACAGAACTACGCCAAAAAACGCCTTTCTACGGTACATGCACAACATGACTTACAGCTTTCGTATTTTGGTTGCGGCGTTGAACAGCCCGACAGGTAGGTGAACAAGTTTATTATCATAAAATTCTCTGGGAAAACAAAGTAGAATTTTGATAGGACGTATATCACTTCCTGGAAGAATTTCTTATTACTCTATTTGGCGTCTCAGAGGAGAAGGACAACCTGTTACGAGTTATGACTAGGGATTATTATTATTTATACAGAAGAGAAAGATTATTTTTTAAAGAGTCAGCACTCAAAGAAAGTTTAAAATCGGATACTGAGCCAATAATAAAATGTAAAAAAGAGAAGAAACACATGAGAACGAGTTAGGCAGCAACTATCCACGACGGTATGTATGTATGCATAACTCATAATCACAAGGTGATCGTAGAGGCATTAATCAGCGAGAGAATTGTGAATGATGTCTCTGAATCCAACTCTATCGTGTGCTGCATGAGAGAGAGCATGCAAGGGAAGACCCGTCCAACTTTTAATGTTAGGAATCCATGATGTCGCGGGCCTTCCTCTCGGTCTAGATCCAGGAGTTGATCCTTGCAGGAAGGGCTTTGAGAAAACGTCATGTCTCGTAACATGGCCAAACCACATCAACTTGCTTGACTTCATTCGCTAGCCGCATCCTTGCTCCGATGATGTCATTGATTTCTTCCAGGATAGATTGGTTGGTACGCCGGTCGTGGTATGTTACTCCTAAGAGTCGGCGGAAACATTTCATCTCGAAGGATGAAATTCTTCTCATTGATGAGGCAGATAATGTCCAAGATTGGCATCCGTATAAAACAGTCGCTAGCACAATAGACCTAACAAAACGAAATTTAGTAGGCAAAGAAAGTGATGGCGATTTCCAAATGAATTAAAGCTCAATGATGTTTTGCTTCCCTAGTGCTAAGCGTCTTCTTATCTCCACATCAGACTTGCCATCCGACGTGATTACGGCACCTAAGTATTTAAACTGGGATACCTCTTTTATTCGCTCATTGCCTACATGGATGCACCCCAGATCACCACCGCCCTCCGGCGGTGGTGATTGACAAGTTGCCCATGCAGAGCATGCCTAATCGGCTTTTCGATCGGTTAAGAGAATGTTCAATTTTGGTCATATTATGAGCCCCAAGAACCGAACTCGGCTCAACGTAGTACTTGAAGTCACCGTTCCCATTATGTCATGTACATTTACACACACTCTGTTGAAGCACTGAAACATCGATTTTCGGCGAAATCAACAAGCGAAATTTGAAAATTCGGCGAAAAGATGGGTGATTTCTTCAAAACCACTTTCTTCGGCGAATTTTTCGGCCGGCCGATTTGGGAAATGCCTACTATCCATGCAGGTGCATTAGATGCATATTTCTATTTTCATCGGGATACAGTAAGAATCAACCGGCTACGCCCGGAGTATCATGCATCAAAACAATTATTGAAGGGATGTCACAGTGAAGCAGTGTTGCTATGCACCACAAATCCCCTCTGCACTGCACCGAATCTATACTGGAGAATCCAGAGTGACCAGCAAAGAGTCACAACCCGCACGTATCCAGTCACACTAAGGCATATCCACCATTCCCCACATATTCACCAACAAGTCAAAACTTCTAGAAAACAAGTATGAGTGCGGAAGAGTGCTGTCTTGCCTCTTCTGATTCTAGCACCCCCCACTGATACTAGTAGGGTATGGGTTGCAGGATGTGAAAAGAATGGAATTGGAAAAGATGGGGCAGGTTGATTTCATGTGCGCACCATCAAGGAATGCGTCAATCATGACAAGGTTCCATCATGAATGTGAAAACTTCGAGACTTGTCATGCCTTTGACATGGACCATTTATTCGTTCCAGATTCACCTTTGTTCCACGAGTGGACATCTGCTAAAAATGTCGCAATGAAAAATAAAATAAAATAAAATAAATGAAAAAATCCAAGCGCGTTTTGTATGGTCATACCTCAAAAAGAAGAAGATTAAGTTCCAGTACGAAGCTATCAAGTCCGATTTGAACAAGGTTGCAGGGCTCGAGTCTCTCAGGTGCCGGTGGCAATTCATGTTATTATTATTTTATTTATTTTACTAAGGTGTTTCCCACAGACCATGTGTTTGGTTAAGCTGCACAAGCAGCGCATTACTTCATCCCTTCCACTAATTGTTATCGGCCAATCAACATACTCTCACCACCTCACATCCAATCAGCACATCCCACATCACACTAACGTTACACAAACTTTTCTCATATATGCGAAAAATGGTACTGGATCATAGCAACATCCTCCTGGATAATGAACAAAAATTAATAATGATTAAAACACTGACAACAACCAACAACAACCAACAACAACACCCAACAACCGACAACAACCAACAACAACCAACAGCAACCAACAACAGCCAACAACAACCAACAACAACAAACAACAACCGACAACAACCGACAACAACCGACAACTACATCCAACAACCAACAACAACCGATAACAACCAACTACAACCAACAACAACCAACAACAACAACAACCAACAACAACCGACACCAACCGACAACAACAACCAACAACAACCAACAACAGCCAACAACAGCCAACAACAGCCAACAACAACCAACAACAACAACCGACAACAACGGACAACAACGGACAACAACCGACAACAACCAACAACAACCAACACCAACCAACAACAACACCCAACAACCGACAACAACACCCAACAACCGACAACAACACCCAACAACCGACAACAACCGGCAACAACAACCAACAACAGCAAACAACACCTGACAACACCTGACATCACCCGACAACAACCGACAACAACACCCAACAACACACAACAACAACAACAACCAACAACAATCAACAATAACCAACAACAACCAACAACAACCGACAACAACCAACTACAACCAACAACAATCAACAACAACAACCAGCAACCGACAACAACCGACAACAACATCCAACAACAACCAACAACAGCCAACAACAACAACCAACAACAACCAACAACGGACAACAACGGACAACAACCAACAACAACCAACACCAACCAACAAGAACACCCAACAACCGGCAACAACACCCAACAACCGACAACAACCGACAACAACAACCAACAACAGCCGACAACACCTGACAACAACCGACAACAACAACCAACAACCAACAATTACACCTAACAACAACCAACAACAACCAACAACAACCAACAACAAACGACGACAACAACCGACAACAACCGACAACAACAGCTACCAACAAAATAAACAACGACGACGATAACGACGACAACAAACAACAACAACAACAACAACAACATCAACAACAACGACGATGATAACGACGATACCCACAACAGTGTCCGGTAATGTGTGGTAGAGAATGGCAGTCAGCCAGACTGAGTACAATTGAACATGTAGAATAATAATAACACATTTCGCGTAGTTGAGCACTAAATAAAGAAATTCCGTGTTTTTCCCACTTCTGTCTTGTGAGCATCATCAGCAAGGTGTAGTAGCTGCTGATACTGATTTGTCCTCGAGTGTCGAGCTGCACAGTTTCTTCCAGTCTGTCTTGTCCTCTGCTTGTTGCCGGCACCTGGAAAGGTCTTCCATGGTCTTCATGGGCACACCCTCCTGTATTTCGCACGTCTCGTTGGAGACAGTCGATCGGACAAGACGAATCGAGGACATAGATCTGGCAAAACTGCTCCCGCCCAAACCTATTTCTGCCGGGGAGCCAGCCCCCAAGAGGTTCCGTCAAGCGCACCGAAAGGAAAAATTGAGAACCTTGCCACTTGGACCGAGGCCAAGCCTGATCGCCATCCGCGATCACCCTCGCTGCGCCGCTGCACTGATGCAGCGTCAAATACGTACGGTACAGGCAGCCTGTCTCGGCAGTCGTGGACCATGACACGCGGGCACGCCAGGCCCTGTCAAAGGACCCAAGCCGATCCCTGGCAGAGCTCGACACGGAGCTTTTCGCGACGTGTTTCACGGGACAGGCCCTCCCCAATTGCAACATTTGCAAGAAGGTGGGGCACTTGGCCGGAGCGTGCACCTTGGCCTTTCGCGGCAAGCAGGCGAAAGAGAGTGCAAGCACTAAATAAACCGAAATCTGCCGCCGCTACAATCATGGCGCCTGCAGCGGCCCATGTCGCTTTCGACACGCCTGCCTCTTCTGCTCAGGCTCGCACGCCGTGCCAGCCTGTCCAGCCAAGAAATAAGAGCGAACAGCAATCAGCCCCGGCACCACTTTCCTGCATTCACCCGCTCCCTAACACCCCTATGAACATTACTGCATTACACCCCAACACCTCTATCAATATTGATGCATTACACACTGAATTGCTGGCGCACCCTAATCCTGCATTTGTTCATTCTCTAATTAGCAATTTACGTGCCGGCTGTCGTATCGGGTTCACTGGACCCCGCGATGTGCCCGTACGCAGCCCGAACTTGTCTTCAGTGGCAGCACACCCCGAGATCGTCGACCAGTACCTGGCCACGGAATGCAGTCGCGGCCACACCGCTGGCCCCTTCAACGCGCCGCCACTCGTCCATCTGCGCACCCCTGGCGTAGGTGTGGTCCCCAAGAAGTCGGGCAGCCACCGGCTCATCATGCACCTGTCCGCCCCCGAGGGGAACAGCGTCAAGTCATTTGACAAGCAGGCCTACCATTTCTCTCTAATTATAATTGACACGATAGCAGACCATGTGCGCAGGACTGGACCTCTTGCACTGCGATAAGTCAGTAGGGTGCACTGCCTGGGAGTCCGGCACATGCCGACATGCCTGGGTTATGGCCCTGATACGCAGCACCATGCAACTCGCCGCTCGCCACAATTTCTGCCTGCTCGTCCGTCACGTCGCTGGCGTCGGCAACAGCATCGCAGATGCACTCTCCCGGGCCAGTTCCAGCGCTTCCGCAGTCTGCTTCCGACGCGGAGACTGCCCCATCATCACTCGCAAGTGCCCAATCCGACAACGGATAGTCGCATCCGTCTGCAGTTGGCCAAGCGCTCCAGCTGCCAATTTTTAAGCCCCCACCTACAGTTTCCGCTGTCAATGATTATCCATGCCCTGC